AATGAAATAGTATTTCTATAAACGCATATAAAAAATTAAATAAAACAATAATGTCTTGCAATAGTTTGTTCCCACGAAACTTTAATACTGATGTTTTCATATACAGAGATTTTTCTCATTTTGGAGCTTAACTCCCTAATCTGTGATTCAAAAAAAACAGATTAGCCACACAAAAAAATTTGTCCCTCGTATATAACGATGTTCCGATGGCCCGTAATTCGCTCACTCATTCGTTATTCGCTTTCCAAATATCCTTCGAATTACGTAATTCACTTGTATAATTCAGATCTAATTACCATGCGAATTGCGAAAAATAAATCGGTGTCGTCTCTAATTTTAATGGGAAATTTATTGAACTCTGCTGTCAGAGCAAGAGAGAATAGAAAATATTAAAACAAAGAAAGAGGGGTGGGAATTAACTGTCAAATTAAAGCACGAAGCGAACAACTTAGTTTGAAGAAATTTGAGATTAAACTGATAACTTTTCGGTGTGCAATACCGTTTTATCAATTATTTTTGCGAAGAAGAGGAGTAATGTCAAATGTGAAGGTAAACAAAAATGGGCGCCAGCAAGGAAAATACGTTTGTAAACGTATTTTCAATGAAATATTAAGTAAAAATATCTTTAAATTGCTTAATTTAGCAGAAAAAGTAATCACAGAGAAGAAATTGAACTTCTCCTTGACAACGAATTTGTTAGCTAATAATTCATGATTTGACTGTGCAGACGGGTTGTCTAATACGGCTTTCCCACAGCATCGTGAATTACTTTGTTTCTTTCCCCAAATAACGATCGCGAATTACACCACATATGGGCACATTCTTAATTCGATTTGACAGTTCTCCGTCTCTGAGTTCTTTTTGTTTTCTTCGCTACAAAATTGATGCAAAATGTAAGCTATTGCTAAAAATTTGTATTAAGTAGGTGATGATCACATTTATTAGCCTAACTTTTAGTTCTCAGAAAAAAGTACCAGTCGATAAATTTCCGATTAAAATTAGAGGCGGCAACGATTTGTTCGTAATTCGCATGGTAATTGCATCTAAATTACAAACAAATGAGGTAATGCGCTCTCAAAATTTTGTATGGCGATTTACTTAATTCGAAGGGTAATTGGAGTGCGAATTACGAATGAGAGAGCGAACTATGTACGTAATTGGGGTGCCATGGGAAAGCCGTATAATACGTGCCGTCTCTAATTTTTATCGGAATTTTATCGAAACCAGCTCACAAATCAAAGGTGGCACTTTTCTGAGTACGATAAGTAAAGTTTATACATGTGTAGATTACCAATTGAATACAGAAACTTATAAATTTTTAGCAATAACTTAAGTACATTTTGCATCAATTTTGTAGCGAAGAAAGAAAAATCAAAACAGAGATAGAGAACTGTCAAATCGAATTAAGAATGTGCCCGTGCAATGGGGTAATTCGCGATCGTAATTGGGGAAGCGAACAAAGTAATTCAGGGTGCCCGGGGAAAACCGTATAACGAACCGTATTTGATAGAGATTGTATTTATGTATATGTAAACGTATATATTCCAATATAGCCCTGTACACAAGTTTAATACTTAGAGATGGAATCAGTAAAACCAAATGAAAATACTGAAGGCAAAAAGCCTCTAACATGCGCAGCAGGAATGTAAAAAGTTCAATAGAATGGCGTAAATTACATCGTAAAGGGACACTCAATCTGTGAAAACTACTTATTTGAACTGATAAAAAAAAACTCCGGCGTGTGGCCAACGCAAGAAAATATGTGCATCGTTTGAAAGATAAGTAATTTCAACTGAACCGATTGAAAAAATAAACCCAAGCAGATGGAGTTTAAGAGGAGACTTCGGTAGTTATGTATGTCATGGTATGGATATTCTATGGTTAAAAAAATTAAATAAATATTTGACACTCACATTTTTGTGACAAGTGTTTGCCGAGCTTCTCCTCCAATTTGTGGTATGTGTCTAGCTGTTACATATACCACAAAAGAAGGAACTAAAAACCTATCGCTGTCTACAAACGGGCAGTAGGTACAACCAATTTACTCAAGACGTCGTAAAAACGTATTATAAATATTATAACTAAATTAATTAAAATTGCATGATCAAAAAGATATCCATATAAAAAAGAAAAAAAAAACAAATTTAAAATAATAATCAAACAAGTCCAAAAAAAAACTTAAGAAAGGTCCAACAAACCAATCCCTGGAATAATATGATTTATATCCTATTGACAGCACATTTCTACTGAAAGCTTAACTGCAGTAAATAGCTGTGCAAGACATTTGCGTTTCCATCGCATGAAACTTAACGAGGCGCATACATATACAAAGGACATAAAAAAACAAAGTACATAGTTGCAAAGCTAATCTTTGGCTTACAGCAGGTTTAACGAGATTTTTTAATTGAAAATTTTACTTGATTTTTTTTTTTTTTTGCTGTTTCTATTACGGTTGTGAATGCGCCCTTGGCGGAAGATAAAGGTGCTAACTGCAGTTAAGGTTCGGTGAAAATAGGCTATAAGCGTTGGAAGAACATATTGCATGCCTTTGGTTGATTTTAGCTAGCTCGCATTTAAGTCAATTTACATACATATACTACTACAATATTTAAAATTTTTCAATTAATGTAATAGAAGAATTCAATTACAAACAATATGAAATTACTTATTAGAAAATGGCGTGTAGTCACTACATAGCTGCGGCATTCTATTGATTTAAGTGCAAATTTGTATTTTTGAATTAAAAACATGCTGTTACTTGCACACTACTTCAATACAAAATGGAGAAAGTTCTAATGTTAGTTTTTTTTGTTCTTTATTAAAACCCCAGAGTAAAGATTACGATTGATAAAATTATATTCAGTCCAGAATTTTTTATATTATCGTCTCAGAGCTTTGAGCGATTGCTTCATGTTGAAGCCAAAGTGTTAAAAGATTCATATTTATTGGGAGTTTTTTTTGTTTTTGTTTTGTCGAAACTAAAAAAGTTAACAAAAAATCGCCGTTTAAAGCTATATACATATAAGAAATTTATCGTTGTGAAATCTAAGTTTCTAGAACTACAGGGCACGATCGAGGTACGTACGTATGTATGTAAATATTAAAAAATGGTACGTGTGCATCTGTAGAGAGGCTTACCGCTCAGCGAAGATGCTACAAGTTCTTTTTACGTAAAAATTTGAGGTTGAATTAGGCGTTGAGCGAAGCGTTTTTTGCCGCCAAGCGTTAACGCTGAACGCTGAAGTGCTTTACTTTAACAGAACCGGAAACGCTAAGTTAATGTTGAATTAACAGCGACAATGAGCATAGGTTTGTGAGCGAAATACGAAAATGGCAGTTTCTTTCGATTTCTGCAGCCAACTTCACTTTCTAGCGCCCTGTCAAAATCGGATTTTTGAACCGCTATTTCGGTACATTTCATACATGGGCATGCAAATTTTTTAACAGCTAGACAACGCTGACGTTTTATTTAGGTATAGCTGTAAATAGTGATGATTTCTATTAAGGACTGTGTCAAATAAAATTGTCCGTCATACTTGTACCCATATTGTAATATTCAAGAAAATTATTGGTATCAAGGCGAATTTCATACAAGAAGGTGTTACCACAGTAGCTGATTTCAAGGCGAATTGTGCTGATTGTCAAAATGATTGTTGAATGTCTGTGTTCGCTTTGATTGGTATCTTATTAAATCTGTATTAAATGTCACAACATAATGAATGTTAGCTTTGTTTCTTTACTTTTCTAGCAGATAATTATCAGGAAGGAGAAAAATGGGAAAAATTACAGAATTACACTCACAGAGCGAAATATAGAAACTAGCAAATAAACACTTGACCGTTGTTTTTGACAATTGAAAATATTTGGCGCGATTTTTTATCACTTTTTATATTTCAAGAGTATTCACAGATACCTACTAACATTTTGCAACACTTCATCAATACTCGATGATTCGCTCATTTTTATTAAAAAAGAACTACTAAAAGTATGCAGAAAGAAAGAATGAACAGCAACTGTGCTTAACCTCTCTTGTTTACGTTTCAACAGCTTACTGCCGAAATTAGCAGGAGCACAAAAGGAAGAGCGTAAGAACGAGAGAGAGAGCTGGTAGTTTCTGCCAGAGGGAAATTGGAGTTGCGAAAATATTTTTTAATTTTTAATTTTTGATATACATGGGTATTAATTTAAACGCGTAAATGCCTCCCAACCTCGTAAAGAAATCGGTTTTCCATACAAAATTAAGTAAGCTTACGAGGTTTACTTGGTTACGAGGCATTAACGCGTAATAACCATAATATTTTTGTGAATAAAATTTTTTTGACGCAGTAATGTCAAATGCAAGATTTTGCAATGACTCTTGTTTAATATGCAAGCCAAGATAACTTTTCATAAGCCAATACAATTATGCAGACTAAGTTTTAGCAAACTTTTCTCAGTTTCTTGGACAAGAATTTTCTACAGGCGATTCTCGAAGAACTGTCGCTGATAAAATCTGAGCAAAAAAGTGAAAACATTTCCTAGTAAATTTTTTGTTTAGTAAGCCATTTGCATTTGTGGAAAAAGAAGCAGCTGATTTATGAACGAACGTAAAGGAAGGCTTGCAAAAGACATTACTTATATTCTTATATGAAATATACACTTTTTTCGGTCTGATCACACTTCATGCCAATACGGCAAAGCAACCTTGGAGAGTGGTTTCAAAAGAATTACGTAAATTTGGTGCCTGAGAAGCCAGTCGTCCACCAAACTGTTCCGAATCATATCCGAATCGTTTTTCACATTTTTTTTTCTATAGTTTCAAGACAATTCATTGAGAATATTAAAAAAATATATATGTATGTACATTTTTTCTGCGCAACCTCCTCTGACCAGAGACAAACAATTTTAATAGAGGCAAAACTTTCATCAAACCATTTATTTGCTACAGTCAAAATTGCACCTAACAATAACAACATATGTATAAGTATGGGTGCGTTCAGAAATGCATCAAGCCAAGGCATCAGTCTCTTTTATTTCTAAACTATAACTGATAGAAATGTTAAACATGCGCAACCACGGTTAACAGCCGAATTGTAACATAGTTGCGTAAATAAGACGTTTCCATCAATTATAGTTTAGAAATAAAAGAGACTGATGTTGTTGTTGTTGTTGTAGCAGCATACAAGTTCCCCAAAGGGTTTTTGGCGAGTGTTGCTGGAGTGACAGTCCTTGGCCAGATATAAATCTGGGTCGTTCCGGTTACGTAGACCCGACTCTCGTGGGAACGAAAAAAAAGAGACTGGTGCTTTGGCTTGATGCATTTCTGAACGCACCCTATCTATATATGTACATTTTATATGCGAAAAATAGAAATTCATTTCATTTGCAATTAACAATATTACAAAAAATTCCTAGCAAATATGTATATGTAGATATTTTGAAGCTCGTATTAGAACAAATGCTATTATGCATGTACATACATCTATTACATCCTGCTTTCAAATGCATTGATTTAATGAAAATTCTATGTACATATAAACTGCTTTCACAATTGAAAACTTTCTGAATACCTATACGACATTCAAAACCCTTTATAAATGAAATTTTATATTTTAAAGACTATGTGCCAGGCAATAAATTGAAATCTCTGTAAAAACGTTAGGAGAATTTAAGATATTAAGCTTTGAAGTATAGTAATATATTATTCAAACCAAAAATATTCATTTAGTAAACGTTGAGGAATAACTAATTAGAAAAATGTAATGATAAAGATGTACAAGAATACAACCCGTTTCTTTAAGAGCTTTTGTTTTACATTATTACAAAAGTTCCAAGCAATTCTTCTAGCTGAATAATATTTTTACGCAATATAGAAATTGCTGCACCTGTAGAATTCCATTCCATTTCAAACAAAAGAAGTCCAGTTTTCCCCAATGTACATTGAATAAATGTACGTCGTTCGCCGTAAACCACATGTTCTACGAATTTTTACCATAAAGCTGTTTGTGTTTGAATCGAGCAATTTTTGCTGTTGCAGTAGGTTGCCAGAATACCTTTTCGTGTGATTTCTTTATTCTGATGCTGGAGAAGATACTGCAGAACTGAACCTCTCAGGTACAATTTTTTACAAGTGCGTCGTGCTTTATTGGAATCGCTTAGAAGTTCGTTGCCTTAAATTTTTTTTTAACGTTTTGAAGCTGTGCTGAAGAGCTGGACTTGGCTTATGGAGTTAAACGGCAACGAGCGATTTGTTTAGACTTCATTTTTCATTTGTTTAATCTGTTGTAGATATTTCTAGATTTACATTATCATAAAACTGCCTGTGTATAAAATTCAAACGTCGAAACGCGACAACTCCACATTAATGTAAAAAAAAAATTTATAAAAAGAAAAATACTTTTCCGCCCTTAGCTTAATCCACTTCAGTCTACCAAATGAGCTGGCACAATGAGATGTAAAATTAACAATTAATGGCAGCATTACTCACAGGCAACAAGGTTTATAAATGTCGCAGAGTTATTAAGAAAATTTTGAGAAAATCTAAAATGTTACAACAACCAACACCGGCGTCACGACAAATACATGTGTACGCATGTGAAGAAGCATATCTCCGTACACCAGAAAATGAGGTTATTTACTATTGTTATTACGAATATTGTCACTTAAATGAATTGATAATGAACTTGCCATGAGGAAATTAGTAAAGATTGTCACACACAGTATGTATGCTTAGGAAAAAAAAAAACAATTAGCATAGTGTTAATAAATACATTCGGTGGTATATGAAAATTAAATGCAAATTTTATTAATTGGAAAGAAATGTAGTTTTTGTTTCAGTTGTTCTTCTATATTATTTTTTATAGCATGCTAAAAATTGCGTTTCTCCTTAAATACATTTGTATATGCACATATATCACGGTTTGAAAATAGGAAGCGAAGTGCTTTTCTTTAACGTTAGCATTGAAATATTTAATGCTTTAGCATCTCTTAAAAATGTTTGAAATAATTATAAAATTTATATTTGGGCAACAAAATTAAGAATGGTGAATTTGAGAATGGGTGAAAATGCAATATTTAAAATAAATTTTTTTCAAGTGTACTTTATGCCTCTTTCTTTATCTTTTCTTTGTTTATTTTTACTCACCGTTTACTGAATCGGGATGACAGTTTCGAGAAAAAACTCATTCTGCCTGGATGCGGAGAGTCTCCAGATGCACCACTCGTACCAGAGTACTCCAATGCAGCATTGTTTCTAGTCCTTGTTTGGCCTGTAAAATTAAGCATTAGAAAATATATTTGACTATTGTGTATGGATGATAGATAGCTAATTAGAATTACAAGAGTATACAAATGAATTAATAATAGACGAGTTTCGAAAAGGAGAGCACGCGAAAGTTTATAAATATAACAAAAAATCTATCAAGCTTTGTGTTTTAGTGTTATACATATATCTGAGTCGAAGCAAGATGCTTAAATATACCCTTAGGAGGCTTGTGTTGGGCAAAGAGGCACTCAGTAAAAATATTCCATCGCGACCGTAGGGCCTACGAACGACCCAGATTTTATATCAACATTTCTCAAAATTGTTTGAAGGAATTTTTATGCCGTTTCAATAACAACATCGCATTTGCTTGAAGTTTTTGGCATTTAATTCGTTTTTAATAATTCCAAACAGTGCTAATTTCGAAAACGAAACGCTTCCATCAACAAGTTGTGGGAATGTAAATATCTAGGTACTAGTTATAGCAGCATAACTAATCTAAGTCCTAATATTCATTATTTTGTTATTCTTCTTTTGTATTACTCTGTGGATGAGTTGTGACTTCTCGATTTACATATATCCCCTGTTTATCTCAAATTTATAGTATAAAAAGAAAAGTACACGTCGAGTATTTAAGTGCTTGGGATAACTTATATAAAATAATTACGGTAGTAAGTATAACATAAAGAATTATTCGAAACTAAATACACAACTCAATTATAATGGCATGCTTAAAAACGAAATACTCTTAAGAAAATTAATTTCTCAAAGGAAAGTATGTCTGAAAAATGAATAATAAGATTATCCGTGGTATGATAAGCTCGCTTTCACTTTGCGCCAGAGCTCGCAAATTTAAGCAATAAAGCAGATTGCAGCAAACAATTTCATGCGTTGAACTCGGGCGACCTACTAAAAAGATCTAAGCGTATAAGCTTAGTAAAATTAAAGCACGAAATGAAACAGCTTAATTTGAAACTAAACTTTTGCCAATCAAATAAATGTATTTGTGAATGGGGACCAAAGCAAATTAAATGAAATTGGTCGTTTGCGCGATTGGGTGGTAAACAATTTGCGTTAATTTTAGTAAATTCCAATTTTATACATCGCCCTACAAATTCCCTAAAGCATGCAAAAGCTTTGTTTTTGAATTTTACGATAGCAAGCAACCGATTAACACCCCCCGACAACTAAAGATGTCAGCAAATGGTTTTTGGTGTTTGAATAATATTGTATAAAAAGCATTCCCATACACTTGAAAAGGAAAAGAAACCGATCCGAGAGACGGAAATCCTATAATCAGTTTTTAATATCAATAAATCTTAGTTGAGAAATTCTGCATTATATTTGATTTTGAGGTTGGTAAATAAGTTGAGGTCTGGAGTAATCACAGCTATTTTCGGTGATTAACTGCATTTAATTCAAATCTAAGCTAAATTAAAATTTTTGTATACAATGAGATTGTGTATGCAGTTTCTATCTAATGTTATTTTATTGTACTCGTTCAACACATTCTAAACGACTGTGCATTTACAAGGTACATACAATACTTTTGTGTTGCAACCGAAAACATTTAAATTTAATAAATATGCATTTTGAAATATCGGTGCTTTTCAAGCCAATGTGGAAAATCAAAATTTAGCCTAAATTTTTTTTTATTCAATATCTTTATTTGAATAACAAAAATACTTGTCTTATATAATAGTATACAAACGCTAAATTTAAAAGGGACAACTCACCAGAATGAAAGGTTGATCGTAATGGCACATTCCTGGGGAAATGCCTGCTAGACTTAACAGCCGACGTCATTCTAAGTTGTTTGAGGAAACTATATGTTTTTGTTTTGTATTTCATATTTTTGGTAAATATGTATTGATTTGCGTCCAAAGATGTACACACACAACAAACACATATGGTTTATATAAATGGTAAACAAATCGTTGTAGGAATAGAGCGCGTAGGATTATTTGCCATTTGATTACAATTGTATGTTTATTAATATAACATATTTTGATTTGTTGATTTATTTATTTGAATTCGAGATGGTAGCATGTACATATGTGGTGGTAGTGGTGGTGGTGGTGGTCAGTTTTGATTTGTAATCACAATTGAACAGGATGGTACGGTACGAACGGTAAGCGAACAAACAGTTAGGCAGCAAATTAGGTAGTTCATGTTGGTTTTGAGATCGTAGCGATGTCCAAAATGTGTTTTCATGCGTAAGAGAAATAAGAATAAAAAAACCTAAATTAAAAACAACGAAATAAAAATTTTTTTAAATAAAGTGCACATACAATTAAATAATTGAGATAGTACTTGATTGCGTGACAATGCATTTTGCAGCTTATACTAACTGATGTATGCACATACATATAAGATAAATAGATATTTATAATGATAAAATCGATTTAACCTATTGTTAGTTGATTTTGACTAATTTATTATGTTACAAGTACATATTCTAAAAGAGACCTTTATTTTTTTATTTTGCAAACTTTTTTAAGAAAAACTGTAAAACAAAAATATTTTCTGCATAGACAGTAAAAGCATGTGCGGTTGAAATTAATGGTATTCTTTAACTTTGATTTGCAAAAACAAATTTATTTATAAGCGAGCAAAAAATAACAAATATGATAATGAAGCAACGCAGAACCGCATACAAATTTGTAGTTTTTTGCAAAAAATAAATAAATGAATAGTTATAGTCCCTTAAAGTTGAAAACTTCGAAGCGTTTTTGCTTTTAAAGAAATCGCTTTTAAACGCTCAACTCTTCTCCCGTTTTTAAACTGAAACTCCTTTCAAGGTATACATAATATGTATATCGTCGATTAAAATGCAAAACTGCGTATCAACAAAATGGAAAACCGCGTATCAAGATAATGCAAAACCGCGTAACTGACATTTGCTGCCAAAAATTGGATTTGCTCACACAAGCTCTTGGCTCAATCCTTATCCATTCGTCCTGCAATATACTAGCCAGAAATGCGATTGCTTTATAAAAAAGAGAACCATTTTGAAATATGAGTGTTTTTACTCTCATCTGTGGTTTAGAACCCTCTTTCCCAATTAAAAGCGCGAAGATTTTTACATGAATCCGGTCGCCGCGGTGAGCCTAACAGCTGGCATATGCGCAAGATTTTCTAACTTCAAGTAATATTAACATTATATTTTAAAATACGTAATAAAATAAAAATACTCGTAATAGAAAAATCTCAACACTTTCGAGTCGTTCGAAAATAACAAATATTCAACCTTTCGTATTGTTTCATTGATTATCTGTACGCTTTAAGTTATAAACATTAGTTTTTATAGTTCAAAATAAAAATATTTACTATAAGTTTATAAATCCTGGTGAGCATTAATACGCACTTCTTCATACCTTTACTTACAGCAAAATTTAAATCAAAATATAAAATCAATGATTTATTTTAAGTGCATAAAAACACATACATGTGCAATAAATAATACAAAAAAAACAAATGAATTTTTGCAAGAGTAAAATCAAATTAAAAACTAGGCCGATTAAAAACTGGAGAATTAAATATACATAGGAAGAACTTGTTTGTAAAAAAAATTAAACACTCAACGGCACCTTAAACACTCAACGAAAATTCTTGTTTTTAATTTCACACATAAATATATTGTATAAAAGTGCGCTAATAGCACTGGATCACAAATTTTAATTTTGATTTTGTTCTCCAGACGCCACTATCCAATTTGTATGTAGAATCGCTCGCCGATTCCGAAAATCGAGTTATTTTTTTTTTGTATGTATACGTTTTTGAGATATTTGCATTTTACCGTTATTCAGCTTAAAAAGCGAGTGGTTCCACTTAATCAGGTATATCTTACGAACCAATTAAATACGATTATTTTACGAACCAATTAAATACAACAAATGAAAACAAATTCTCCATAAACCGTATATACATCACCTTTCGATAGCCCTGACAATTTCTGAGAAATTAATTAATCATTCCACATTTTTTTTTATGGAAAAATGCAAACAATTCAAACTTTAACATGAAATAAATTCAAAAAATACCAGTTTCTGTGTAAATGTTTAGCACTTGTGTTAAAGCCTGTAAGCTACCAATGAAGAAAATCGATGGATAATTAAGAAAATAATGATTGGTCAAATGAAAATGCCCAAGGATTTTTTTGTATGAAATATGAGCAGAAAAGAGTGTTACTCATACGCCACGTACACCCGAGTAGGTAGAGTGTTTGCATCGAAAACAAGAGGTGTCAGAAATGCTTATCTGCTTTCATTTCCCGTATCTCGTATTATGATTATTCAATTGGTTCGTAAACCAATATTTTTTTAAAGCTGAATAACTGTAAATTGCAAATATCTCGAAAAGTTATCAACGAGCAAATCAACATAGGAATTGGATAGTGGCATTCATATATCATTTTTGCTGTAAACCAGTGTAGCCAGATCCACGAGAGCAATTTAAGTGAAAAATCATTATTTTTTAATTTAATTTAATATGAAAACTTACAAAAAGGGAAAAAGTCATTTTTCATTTAAATTGCTGTTGAAACCGGCCGTAAAATTACTTATGAATTTTAGCAAAAGCATGTGATGAGTAATAAATACAAATTTTGTTTGCAAGTGTTTTTTTTTTTTAGAATACAAAATTTTTTAATTGCACAAATTTACATTTGCCCCCAATGCAACGCTGATATTTAATTTCACTGTTTTTAAATATTTATAGCCATATTGAAGTTATTTTCTGCAATCAATGAATAAGAGATTTGAACTGCGTTAATCGTGATGTGGTGACAACATGCTATTATATAATACGTATCCCAGAAGAACTCTTTCGCCACTTGGCAAATTAGAGCGTTGTAATTTTTATCACTCGCAAGCTTTGAAATAATGCTAAAAAATCTACACTTATGCCGAATTTCCACCAGCCATTAAAGTGGCAAAAAATTATTTTGAAAAGAAAACGAACATGATTAAATAATAGATTGGCGCTTACACATATGTTAGTGCTTGGCCGAGCTTCTCCTCCGATTTGTGGCGTGCGCCTTGACGTTGTCATACAAAGGGGAGGAGCCAATAGCTTTACGCCAACTCCGAACGGCGATTGTATTTTTGTGAGCAGCTGTTTTCCATGGCAGAAATACACTCGGAGGTTTGCCATTGCCTGCCGAGGGGCGACCGCTGTTAAGAAAAAATCTTTTTCCTACATTTTTTGCGATAAGAACATGATTAAAGACTATTTTACGGCTATTTTATAATGCCGAACTTTGGTCATAAGAAAAGAGTAGTATGCCTTATTGGACTCGGCAGTTACAACGCAAATCAAAAAAATGAAATAACTTTGCCATTTCATCCCTGGTGGAAATCCTGCATTATAATTTGGAAAAAAAAATCTAATGATTCCCTTACACTCCAGAAACTGGAAAACTAGAAAGTATTTGAACTCTGTGTGAAAACTTTTATGGGGATTAATAGTTTTTTTCCAGTTCAAACGAATACCCTATTGTTTTCTTTATACATTTTATCAATAGAGATAATGTTATGTGTGTGTGTTGGCTATATCTACTTTTTAATTGGATTAGTTCACAGTTTAAGCGCACACTGCATGTTATTCCTTTTGAACGATTTAAGCATCGCTCTAAGCGTTAATCACCACGAATTTAAAAAAAAAAACACGATATTTTAGTACTTATGTATGTAAATATATATTTTAAATAATTAATAACTTTTAATATTTACACTCACCGTATTTGTTTCGAAAATGTTGATGTAGTTCGTATACATTATCAAATAAGAGAGCGTTCAATGTTGTTGGTAAAAAATCCATACAAGACAATTTGCAAGAAAAAAGAAAATGTGCTGTATTATTAGAAATTGTAAGACATTCTAAGTGAATTATTTGAAATAAGCTTCAGTTTAAAACTAAGACGGGAAACGACATTTTCACTAAAAAAATTAATTAGTTAATAGAACACAGGTTGGCACCTTAAAGTGCAATCAAGTGGTAAATTTAACAGTGAGCATGTTGTGCGAATATTATGGCAAATAACGCGAGTCGATCATAAAAATTATAGTCATTTGGTTATCAATCGAATTAGAGGAGCCAGGTGAAAGTAAGTATAATCATTTTCATTAACGAACATCTAAAATTTCTTTATGGAACACGCAAAATTTAGTAGTCATAAAATTGTATAAGCTTATGAAGAGAAAAGAAAATCGGGTATGCTGTATACAAAGATAATGCATAACCTAATTTTAATGCTTATTTAGAGGATATACGTAAGTCCCTACCAATTGCAAAAGACAAAATCAAATTTTTGTAAGTATAAACCAGTTAATGTTGTTTTTTTTTGTAAGTGTGTATTATGTCTTTATACCTCGTTCCGAGTGTTTCATTGGAAACAGCGACTCCTCCCTCAGCGGTCGAGCCAGGGCTGGAGACAGAGGCGCTTTTAACATGGCCTTTTCCCGTAGAGTTGGCAGATCCACTAATTGTGCGTTTCAAGAAAGATTTATTCAGAAAAATCGAATCGAGAAAAATTGTAATTTTTCAAAAATCTGATATTTACACAACACTCATGTTGGAGAGTGAAAGTGTGTGAGCGTGAAAAGTATTAGATTTATATAATTTTGTAAGAGCACAGAAAGTTTTGGAAAAACGAAAAATTAGTAAAAAAAAAGCTTATATTTTAAATGAAAAATACTCGATGTGACTTCTTTATTTAATTACAGCTATCTATAACGATTATGTTGTATATACAAATACATATGTACACGCAAACGTAAGTAAATGTTTAAATTAAAAATTTTTTGTAATAGATCTACAAAAAAAACACTAAATTTAGAATTTAGTCATAAATTGCTTTATTTTTATTGGCAGTCCATTGCGGTATTCTTAAATACTTAAATTTGAAAGAACTCGTTCGATTTTTTATAGCAGTTAAAAAATAATGTCTCGATTCCCGTTTTTTATTTAAGTCTGGCTCAATTGTGTAGGGTGTAGTCGCTTCAGATCGAACCGATTTCTATAAAAATTTTCAATATGCATACAATTCTTAGGGCAAGATAATTGTCAAAATAAATTAGTGGATGTACATATAACGATTACTTTCATCCTTTTATCTTCTTTAAAAATTTGTTCACGCGGAATTTTTTAATAAAATCTACTTTAAAGATAGCCTAAAGACAGATTGTAGGATTTGAATTGACAAAAAGGACATGCCAAAACACAAAAACCACTTAGAGCCACTTTCCAATGCAAGAATAAGGGTTATTTTTAGATTTCTAAAGCAAAAGTAAGAATAAAACACGGAGTGAAAAATTGTACAATGTTTTTTTTTTATTACCAATGGAATTAATTCTCTCCTTGTGTTATATGAAAAAAAAAAATAATTTTTGTTAGCTTTTTATTTAAAAATGTATATATCTATTTTATATATAATACCCAGATTTTCATTATTATTATTTTTAATTAGATGTTAAGAGTGCTGTATTAAGATTTTTCCAAAAATCACCACACTTAAGCAAATGCTTAAAAACTGACTCTAAGTGTTTAAGAAACGCAAGAAATTGAATGGACTTCTTCATAGTTTCATAATGACTGTATTAGTATCCAATTTAAAACAAATTACTTACTTTGTTTCCGCTGGCAATGCATTCGTTTTTTCAGTTGATGAAGTCTTTTCATATAAAGTGGTTGAGCGGCGTGGTATCATACCGCTTGTGCCAACGGTAGTGCGATTAGTATTTGACGTATCGTATTTTGTAGAAGTTCGCGGCTTCGCAGGGCTGTTAAGTGCTGTAAAAGAAGCAAGCAATAAATCATACATAAACGTTAGAAGTATTTCTTGAAATGTTTAAATTTGTTTCTTCCTTTTCATAAATAAAATAATTACTTGTATCTGCAGTTGTTAAAAGCTTTTGAGTAGCTGATGTAGGTCTGTGATTTTGTACTGCCAGCCTCGCAGTATTTTCCTTTATTGTAGCCGAATCAATAGTGTTCTGTCGCTTGAAGTTGCTACTACTGCAAAGAAAACAAATAATAAAACAAAATTAGCGTGGATAAGCCAAGCCAATGATGCGTCTATGTAAAGTAACTGTATGACTTTAATAAACAACTTACATTGAAGAGCGCTCAGCGGATGAGCCCGAGCCAGTTCCACCGTAATTATTGTTGGACGGCGCCGCATTTATAGCACCAGGAGCGGCTGTGGTTGGAACAGCTGCCGCATTTGTTGGGCCAACACCTGCGATAAAACGTTGAAAGATTTCTAAACATCATAAAATTATGAATTTTACTTGTTTGTGAAAATGTGTTGAATGAATTGAAAAAGTTTACAAATAAAAAATACAAACTTTATCCACATTTATCTATACCTATGGGTGTATTTAATAGAATTAAACTGCTTTGTAAAAAAAAAAAAAAATACAATCAAAATAGATACACTTCGATTATGTATTAAGCAGAAATTACGAGCATGTTAGAATATATTCAGTAAAATGTCATTAAAGTAAATGAACTGTGAGTGATCTGCCGACTAGGTGCATATGCATACGACAAATGAAATGGGCGTAAGAGAATGAAAAACGAAATGAAACCATGCAGTTGGAAAAAGTGATTAAAATATGATATAGCCTATATTATTATTACTACATTTTTGTTTTTGTCAAATCAATGACCAAATATTGTATGAAACTATGACAAAAGAGATTTGTTTAAGTTCTCAAAAAATGTAGTTTCGCTTTTAATTGTTGGAATTCGAAATTAACTGCTAAGAATTGCCCTCTTGAAAAGGCAAAATTTTTTGTAGAAAAGAAAACAATAATTAAAGGGATCTTGAATAAATTATAGCCGGTTTTTTTCACAATACTTCACGAGTTTTAACAGTTTACGGTAATGTCAATTTATAAAGCGTTTCTTCAAATCGATTTATTTTTTATGAATTTTGGCTCGATTTCACCGAGGCGTAACTAAAGCCAACTATCAGTTACGCGATAATTTATGCAAGTTTCCGTTATTGTTAGGTCATATTTTCAATTTATGCTCTAGCAGGATTAGCGAAATATTTTTCGATATCATATGTATTTAAAAATGCAGTATTGAGTTTGAAATATATATGATACTGGGTTCTAATAAAATATTTATACTAATTATATGTATTTTTATGATTTAAAGCAAAAAAAAGTAACTAATTACTTACGTAGTGTTTCAGCGCCAGATGAAGCACGTCGACTTGGTTTCGTATTTGAAGCAGAAATGCTCCGGTGTACGCCACGATGTGTGGGGCTCTGTGCGGACGTGTTCGTGGTGGCGCCCGCATCATTTCCACCCATATTGCGCAACGACAGTGATGAACCAGACCGTGAACCATCACTTTCGGGCTAAAAAATAATTATGGGGGCAATGTTAATATAAAGTTCTGTGGTACAGCAGTTGAGTAGCTGATAAACTTACATCTGTGCTTTTTCTGCCTAATAACAGATAAGTAGCGAAGACATCATCGTATCGTACCTGGGATAATGAAACTTCAATCTCTTGCCTGTTGTAACCCATTGCCACTAGAGCCTCTGTAGTTTGTGTATTTTATTAAAAAAAAAAAAGTTGCATATTAGAAATTTGTGTAAAGTGCTATATTAGTTGTAACCATTCAATTGAGGGCGTCAAATTGAAATGTTTTCAAACGATTACTAATTTTGTTAACAAAACTAAACAGGATTTGGTACTTTGAATATATGTAGAACATTTATGTTGTTACTTTCTGATAGTCTAGCATAACTGTTGAGATGAACTTGTGTTGAAAATAGTGATTTTCTCGGGGGCTTGTATTAATTTTTATTTAACAGATGACACCCTTCTGTCGTATTAATCCTGCTTTCTAGTACAATTGAAGTACATATTTTGCATCAACTAGACGCTATGTGGCTTTATAATTATTAAATTATGATTTCATATACGAAATAGTTTCGAAAGCTATTCACGGTCATAGTGCTTTGACAAAGCAGTAAATTACTTTCACAAAGAAGTTTGCAAGTTGTAAGCGTTTTAAGCGCTTGAGGAAGCACCATTTTAGTACGCGCAGCAATAACGATTTCGGTTTTGTTTATTATTTAACCCCAAAGACCTTGTAAATCCTGTAAATTGACCTTCATATGAACATATTTATGTATGTATAATTCCAATGTTTGCTTACTATGATGCATAAATGGTACTTTTCCTTTAATTTAAATAAAATTGCAAATTTCCAAACATCCAAAGTGCCGCGAATATAACCCATATATCACAACTGATTTGGTTGATTTAAAACGGACAAAAGATATAAAAACACATTTGACGCAACATTGCATTATACACCCGTGTACCAATTTGTGTACATACATTTTTCGTTTGTATGTGTACTAATTTTATATGTGGCCTTTAAATGTTTTTTTATGGAAATTCAAGTTAAATTTATACTCACATCGCAACTTCAACATTTGTTGTTGGCTCGAGCTCGAGTTTTTTGTACTATGGTATTTACATCGTTTCAAATAAGTTAGGAAAGTATTTATATGTACTTATTCGTTTAAATATATGTATGTAAACTACAACAGTAAGTAGTCATCATAAGGAAATACGAATCACAAATAAATTTTATACATACATGAAGGTAGTAAAAAAAAAAATCTAAAAAAAAAACAATATTTGGGGTACAACATTACGTCCGTCACTTAGAAGAAAACGCATAAATTATTATCGCACAAATGCTCTATATATTTCACTATATATTATACATTTTAAAAATAAAATTTCACTAGACCTTATCGCACATATGATGTAGTTTTTTTTGCGCCTATACAAAATTTTGTAGTGATTTAAAAATCAACTCAATCACATTTCATTGGATAATACTTGATTACCCCATTCAAAATTAAAGTTATATAATACTTTTTGGATAATTGAAAATGCATGCAGGCATTAATTATGGGGGGAAAACACTGCTAACTAACTACACACACATAACAAGTCAAGGTATTAGCTTGTGTACAGTACCCGTCTTACCTATCCGTTTGGGGTCAGCTAGATCTTGTTTTGGTTCTATATAGGGCTTTAATTCGTCATCTTCAAACCCCATATTCATCCACTTATCACCCATTATAGTTTCCAGACTGGCGCGTTTGGCTGGATTCAATACAAGGAATTTACGAAGTAAATTTTCACAGTCAGTTGACATATAGAAGGGAATCCTATTAAAATATAACAATACAGATTAAAATACAAAAATACATGTTTCGTTCGTAAAAGGTGCAAACAAGAATGTGTTACTATATGTTTTATATATTTGCAACAATTTATTTGTTATAGCCAGACAGTTGGCAGCTTCAATGCGGATTAAGTAGTGCATTCGGAATTATCTCGAGAATTAAGTCCAACTAAACAAATCGATTTAACTCATAGCACTATTTCTCAAAATAAAGGAGAATTATTGGCATTTTCGATGACACCAGAAAAAAAAAGAAACCAGCTCATATGACTGCCGTTCCCACGACAGTCGGGTCTACGTAACCGGAACGACCCAGATTTATATCTGGCCAAGGACTGTCACTCCAGCAACACTCCCCAAAATGTCTTTGGGGAATTTGTATGCTGCTACAACAACAACAACAACTGCCGCCATAGCCGAGTGGTTAGAGACATCTATTGTGCAAAATATTTCAGTTTGGGCGTGATTTTCAAACTCCCAGCCATAAGGACAAAATATTTGTTGTGCCTAACGTAATCCGTAATGATGCCGTCTGTCAGGATACAATTTTAAACATATCAATTGCGCCGTTAATTTGGATTAATGTTGTCATCTGCCTCGTACTCGAAATTACTTTTCAATACAAAATTTGACAGTTCAGCAGAAGTTTCAAGATTTTCGTGTTTTTCGAGGCTTTTTACCAGTTTAGAAGAATACACCTTTTGCTTATATTATTCAAAATCGTTGTTAGTACATATATATATATGTGTATGACTTACCTATATTTGCCTCTGAGTACACGTTCTCGAAGCTCTCTTAATGTGGAACCATCAAATGGCAATGAACCACTTACTAGTGTGTACAGAATTACGCCCAAAGACCAAACATCCACCTCAGGACCATCATATTTCTTTCCCTGAAATAACTCAGGCGCAGCATATGGTGGACTGCCACAAAATGTATCCAATTTAGAACCGGGCGTAAATTCATTTGAAAATCCAAAATCAGCTATTTTTATATTTAATTCGCTGTCTAGCAACAGATTTTCAGCTTTCAAATCCCTTTAATAAACATTAGCAGAGAGAAACGAAAACCATGAATATTATATAAATAAAGTATTTTATAATGATCACAGACAATATTGTGCATACAATTTAGGGAAGTTTAAGTTGAAATTCTAGAAAAACGGTAATTATTTTCACTAATTTAAAATTGAAGGAAGTTGAATATGGTTTATTTATGTTTGCTTGTGCTTCCGACCGGGTAGATATATTTTGGAACGTTCTTAGTGAATGATGTACAGAAATGACGCTGAAGATACACAACGCCGAAACCGGTTTATATGCAAACAAAATTTGATAAAGTATGGCGGAAATATCTTCTAAATTTCGCAAATGCCGGTTTCAATTTGCTTATACAATTTTTAAACTCCCCAAAAGTTTCATTAATTTATACAAACTGTTTGAGCATTTCTTTGATTTGATCGGACCCATGACTCGTGTAAGATGTATAGATAAATCGTTTCCATGGAAAAAACTAGCGTGCTCGACATATGAAAAACTATGTTTGAAAATTCTCAAATGGAATATTAGTCTTTGGCCGTAAAGCTACTTTTATTTTGTGTCAGAATTGTACTCATACATATTTCTTGCAACTACATTTTGTATTTCTAAAAGAGAATGCTCAAATGGAAATTAGCATGGTCAAGAAAATATTTTATATCTCAGTCCTTCTTTGATGTTTAAAAAATTAAATAAAGCATAGCTAACCTGTGTATAATTCTCTTTTGATGGCAATACTGCACAGCTGATACGATTTGCCTGAATTTAACACGTGCTTCCTTCTCCTTCATTCGGCCGTGCAAGACAAGATAATCAAATACTTCCCCGCCTGACGCATACTCCATAACCAGATATAATGTCTTTTCGGTCTCGATAACTTGGAAAAGTTTCACAATGTTTGGATGATCGAGCATCTTCATAATTCTAACCTTGAATAGAAATTTTCAATTAGTTTTAATTTAAAATTCAACACATATTTGCGATTAACTTACTTCTCTGAACAGTTTCTGCAGAGAACCCGGATTCAATTGGGTTTTATCAATTATCTTAATAGCCACTTCCTTACCAGTAGGCAAATGCTTAGCTAATTTTACTTTAGCGAAATTTCCTTTACCAATTGTTTTTATAAGCTTATATTTTCCAATGTGTTCCTCTGTGGCACGCCAACGCATTGGTGCACTGCTACGCAGTTGCATATTGGGTGAGCCCTAAAATGTAAGAAAATAGAGTTGTAAGAAACAGTAGTATGTGGGTAAATACGCATATGCAGGTATGAAATTATGTATTGTCTAGGAATGTAATTGAGATATGCATGTTTATCTGTATACATTCAGATGAAAATCTTTTTACTCTACTCAGCAGGCTATGTGGATTAAATATTATTTTGTGGAGTCACAAATAAAGTTTAATTTTCAATTACTTCGGGAATGAACTGCAGTTCATTTGGATTAAATTCTGCAGAGTATCCTCAAAAGCAATGCGAATTAGGAGATTTTTAGATGACAACGTTGCCCAAAACGTCCAGCTGTTGTTTACTGTGCAATCCTGGGCTCGAGCGTTTGTCATTGTTTATTTATATATTTTTTTATTTATTTCTTCTATTTGTGATTTTTTATTATTATTTTCTCCATTTGAATTTTTTATTAATTTTTTTTATAAATTCTTATTTGTTTACATTTTTTAATTTATTTATGGTATACCGAATGGGGCCCCTCCTACTGGCGTCCTTGATTATACCCTTACTGGTATCTCGTGCTTCGATTGTACTCCTAATGTAACATACAATGGCGCCCCTACTGGCGCCCCTGGTACCCTTACTGGTATCTCGCGCTTCGATTGTACCCCTAATGTTACATACAATGGCGCCCCTACTGGCGTTCTCGTGCTTCGAATGTACCCCTAATGGTATATACAACGGCGCCGTTACTAGCGTTCCTAGAACCCGTACTGGAATCTTGCGATTCAAGAGGGAAATTGAAATATACTATGAACGTTGGAAAACTAAGGTTGGTTATGAGTTCGCTCTCAGTCCGATATGCATACTGCATATCGAAGGTCATTTTCGAACGATCGCCAAAATGTTTATAGGGCTCATTGATGTTTCTATATTACGAACACAAACGATTTTTATTGTTCATGCCTCTTATCCGTCTCGAATCCATGTCTAACCTTTTAGCACTTACTTTAGCGATCCTTAATGCTTACTTTAGTAAGGGTTGGAAATGGATAAGACAAGAGCCACTTAGATAACAGTAGTAACAATTTTTATTTTCTGAATTTTGAATTGTGTCGTTATTGCAGAGGACCATCGATATATTTTAATAATTTTATTTTATTTTCGGTTTTTATTTCATTTGAAATTATATATTTTATTATTAGTGTATTTAAATTTTTTATAGAGTAATTTTATAAAAAAGTCAACAACTATAAATACCTTAACAAAAAAATAAAAGTAATAATTGAATGAATTATAAAAATTCATCAGATCAACCGTGCCGTTAATCGGAATCAACGTTGCCGTATGTCTATGCTTTAATAACTACCTACTTCTCGATATTTGCTACGTTAATTTTGAAAAGCGTTAAATAGGGAATGTATTAATTAAAATTGTTAATATATTTTTTAAATATCATATATTGATATTTGACATAGCAAGCTTGGTTATTACATTAATCATAGGGTAAATCATAGGTAACGGTCAGATTAGGTAGGAATTTTCAAACAAATGTTCCCAAGTTCAAAAGTTGTCCATTCGGTCTACGCAGTAGTTACCTAGCATAATGGCTAGAGTATCAATATGTAGGTCTATGTCTAGTACGAAGAAGTATTCAAGCCTACGTAGTATTTAAGACAACAACATTCGACATTTGTAAATGCTTCTTCAAGAGAAACACGTAAAATAGAAGCAAGTAAGCAAACAAAAAAAACCTACATACATACATATGTATGTATTACTAAAGTTGGCTCTCAAGAAAAACACAAAATGCATACAAAAACGCTCAGGAAATTAAAAAGAAAATTCTTTGCACCAATAGGCGCAAGCTTTTTTTTAGCGACTGTCAAATTATGCCAGATCCAACGCAAATTAATCTTTTTGACGACCCAATGTCCATGTTGAAAGTATGCCGGTGGAGCTAATGCCTCATGAGCATGCCTCAATCTCACGGTGTCACATTATGTTCTAGTAATCGATATTTTCTGGGACATCAACCGATTTTGGATGACCTCCACGAAATTCGTCCCGTAGCGAAGTACGACCACTACATAATTAGGAAATTAAGCGAAACACGGTGGCTCGAGATTGTGTTTCATAACTAGGGCAACCCAAAAATTGCTCCGAAAAACTTATTTTAAGCGCTTAAAATATGCCAATAAATCATTATAAGCCATAAGATATACTTTTGAATTTCGTTTATATACGTATGTGTATGCCCAAAAATGCTTTTAACTTTATTTGCAGCACCTAAAATGTTCTAAATTACATAAAAGTGTATATACATAAATATTTATGTTTAATAATTTATACTTATTCAATTTGTTTTTAAAACATATGTATGCAAGTACATGGAAACTAATTCACAAATTGTTTCACATACGAATTCATACTGTTTATGTTTGTAGATACATATGTACAGCGGAAAGTACTAGTCGGGAGTCTGGCAGTCGAATACCGGTACCTCGTGGTATATGCTGTTGTCCTAGAAGGTGACAATTGACTCCCGCTGCGTAACTTTGCCCTAGTACTTGTAGTAGTACCACGTAGCCTAGCCTGTAACCGAAGCACGTTTTGTATTTCGCTGCGTAACCTGGTACTAGTAATAATAAAGACTTCCATAACAAAACCTATTTACTTGTGTTTGATGAAATTCTTGTTAGTCAGCGGCGGGACAACTCATCTGTCAAGAGCGAAACATATACATAAATAGTATTATCCTTCTCGCACATAAAAAAAGCTTTATATAAACACGATGTGAACGAGTACTTTGATATTTATTTCCTTTTCGACACAGTGTTGTTATTATTTTAGATTTTTTTTTTATTAGTTCTAAACGTAACAACGCAACGCAAAGCATCCGAAAATATGCATTCACTGCAAAATATGCTACAATATGTTCTATGAAATATAAAACTTTATATTTTTTGGAGAAACGTGTTGCTAATATGCCTGACCAAAAAACATGCCCGAACATATTTTGGGTTGCCCTATTCATAATTTAAAAGTCAAAGCGAGTTTATCGTCACGCTGCTGTTGATTTAATCGATAAAATATGCATACATACATATTTATGTACATGGAAACTTGGTCAAAACTTATTCAACGCGCATTTTTATGTTTGCAGTTAATTATTATGCATATTGGCATTCAATAGCCAACTGACTTTGAAAATTGCACTTCCTCTCTTTTCTTGACTTTCTTTCGAAACCCTAATACGGTAACTCAAAAAATTCAGGTCGAACATTAATCTGTTTAAATGCGGCTTCAATATTTGTACCACAAATGGAGGCATGCGTATGCACGTACATACCACATAGGACGTGTGAACTGTATTATATTACAATTCAAAATACTAATTCATTTTGTAACTGAAAATTCTTGGATTCTTCCGTTCTTAACAAGTCTGTAATGATTGCGAGTTTTTAAAATTTAAACTTTTAATTAATATCTAGCAAATTTATAGTGTGAAAAAATTTCTATTTTTAGCCTTTTTTAGCTCTTTTAAATTTCTTTTTCCATTTTTTAAATACATAATTTGATTTTATTTTTTTAGTTAAAATGTCACTTGTTTTATTTTATTTTATTATCTTTATGTAGTTAACTTAATTATTATTTGTTTAATAATTTTATAATTTCTTTAACTGTTTCAATTTTACAATTTTTTAAGTTTTTGCATTTTATAATTTTCTTAACTGTTTTCATTTTAATATTTTTTAACTTTTTCATTTTAATATTTTTTAGCTTTATTTTTTTTAATTAATTATTTTTTTATTTATTATTATTTTTTATCAAATTTTATTCATTTTGTCAAAAATTTTTAATTTTCTAATTCTATCTTTTTTACTTTTCCATTTTAATATTTTTTTAACTTTTTTAATTTTATTATTTTATTAACTTCTTTCATTAATTATCTTTTAGGTTTTTCTTTTATTATTTTTAATTTTTTATTCTGCCTTATCCCGAGTTTCACCCGAAAAAAAATCGCCCGAAAATTTGTCATACGCCCATAGTAAAACCATGGAAACCAAAAGTGAAAAGTGAACCGGTTCGGGAAAAATGAAACTCATGATAAGGCTGATTATCTATGTATAACTTTTTTATTATTTTTATTTTCTTGCATATATTTTTTTAATTTCATACACATGTTAACACTGTCGGCCACTTGAATATGGCCTCTTAAAATTTCGATGGAAATTTGTTTAATTATTATAAATTTTGTATAAAGTTTGAAAATCGCATTTACACGGTTTTTGTTATAGAATATGCTACATATATTTTCAGAAAATTTACAATATTACTTTTTTATTTGATTATTATTTTTTGTTGCGATTATTTTTTTAGTTTTTTTTATTAACTGCTTATTTTGATTTTAGTTTTATTCTTAAATAATCTACATAAGAATATTCTGAAATATTTTACTATAAGTGCGATTTCTTTTTTATAAGCTTTTTTACTAAACCCAACTCGTCGTCAAAATCTTAAATCTTTTTCAACTTTTTTCACAGTATACTTGTGATAGAAAATTCTTGAAAGCCTCGAGACTATGGGTATGTTCATACACATGCACGTAGATTTGGGCATTTCCAGTCTGGCGTGGGGTGACATTTGTATAACAAAATGTTACAAAATAAAATGAAAGTCAAAATTTTAAAAAAATTTTCTATATTTGCATAGTAATTAAGTAGCCTCTATTCAGTAAAACAATTGGTGGTAAAGATTTAAAGATATAAGCAAGCATATGCGGCGCTGTGATGTTGAATAAACACAAGTGCGTTTTGACCTGGGTTACAAAATTGCAAAACCCTGCGAATTAGGCAAGTTTTTTTATCAGCCGAAGTAGCTGACACTAATCTCTCATCCTTTTAAATGGCGCAGAAATATGGACGATGTCTAACAAAGGTGATAAGGCTTTGGGGGCTTTCGAGAGAACTATGTATTATTCGCAAGATCTATTATGGCCCCGTTCGCATGGGCGACAAGTACCGAAGAAGATGGAATGACGAGCTGTATGCGCTTTTTAATGACATGGACACAGTTATGCGCATAAAAAACAGTGATTGCGGTGGCTTGGACATGTTATACGACGACGATGTTATGGATGACGATGCTCCGGTGAAAAAATCCTTCGACTCAGCCACCCATGGGTGGACGGACAACGAAAGCAAGGAAGGCCCTGTCCGCACTTGCGTTGAACAACTGGCGTATATCCGCAAAAGAGAGAAGCAATTGGCGAAATTTAACCGACAAACGGTTGTAGTGCCAAATAAGAAGTATCTGACGTAACATTACATGATGTTCAACTAAATATGCCAAATTTGAAACCAATTGGGGCACAAATACAGCTTTTCAAATAAAGAATTAGAAGTAACTGACGTAACATTACATGAAGTTTCGTTACACAAATTTCAATTGAATTTTTTTAGTTAATTTGTTTTCAAACGAATGAATGTTATTTCGAATATGTACATTTTTCGTTTTGACTTCTGCACCTCCTAGCAGTTCCATTCTTTGTAAATCTATGTCTTACTATGCTTTAATGAAATATGCCAAATTTGAAACCAATTGGGGCATAAATACAGCATTTCTAAATATCTCGGGCCAGGCGACGCCTAGCGGGACTATGTATAATAAAAAGTATCCAAATTGGCCCATAAATTTGTCGCTATAGACCTTCCGCTGGAGAGTTATTCGGGATATATTGAAAGCATAAAGTTAAAAAACTTATGAATGGGTGTTTCATTAAAAAATAAAATAATAATATTTTAAACATAAAATAGGATTTTTTAAAGTACAAGATGCACATTATCAAACAAAAGAAACCCAGTATAATATTATACACAAATGTATGTAACTGTGTGGATTCCATTTCAATTAAGTGTTCCGCTTTAAAAAAAAAAAAGTACTGAATAAATTCCGAAATTTTCCCCGTTTCGTGTTTCTTGTATACGTTTTACTTAAAATATGTGAATATGTATTAACGTATTAACCTTGAACAGTCAGAATCTCCACAATTTCTCTATAAATCAGTGATGACCAGAGAGTTTACAGCGTTACACGCATAACCATTAACAAACGTGACTGCGTTCCCTAAAATATGCCATGACTTTTCCAAGGTCACAAATTTTTCTTTCGTTTATTTTTAGCAACTTTCGCTCTTTAAGGCCATCGTCGTAAATACTAAACACATATGTACAGTTGTAGATACGTAGTACATACCAGAGTTGCATTTAGTACTTTCCGTACTTAAAAGCTACATCATGGTCACCCTTTTTTTGGTTCACTCTTCAGCTTTAAAGTTTGCATTATTGTAAACAATAAAGTGATCTGATCTTAGTATGTGGTGGCTTTGTTTGTAAAAATTAGTATAATTTTTTTAATAAAACCATTTAATCCTTTACCTGTTCACCCACTACCACAAAAAAGTGAACTGACTTAAATAAAACCTACGAGCAAATTAATAAAATAAAACAGCAAACAAAAGTCATGAATATTGTTAAGGCTGTTATGCATAATTAGAAACAAAATTACGAGTTTTATGTTATGTAACAATTTGTTAATTTTTGGTTCATTCACAAGGAGTTGATTGATACCAGTTTAAGATTGCTTGAATTGTTACGTGAAAAGTGTTGTCGTTAAATACATTAATGACTGGTGATGGTGAGTACACTATAGAAGTTCGAGTATTTTTAATTTATTATCATTTTTGCAGTAACGCTTTCCATAGTGGCTGTAAATTAACAGTTAAGCATTTTATATTACAAACTTTAGTGATTGCACCTATGCCGTTATTAATTCTAAAATGAAAAGCTTACTTAATGCTAAAACTAATTTTTCATAACTATTTTAAATTATTTATGACTACCTAGGTACATATACAGATGTATGTAATATCACTGCTTAAATAACTTTTTCATAGATTTACCTTAAGTATTCAAACTTTACCTGATTATTTTGTACAACATTGCCAACGTGTCGATTATTGTAAACAGTAGTATGCACAGAATTGGATGTAGTCGTCGCCCTTTCGGATGCTGGTATCTGCGCGGCTGCTACCTTGGGCGTAGTAGTAGTTATAATTTGATTCGTTCTTGCCACCGCTCTCTCACGCTCGCTCGGCACGGTTGTAATACGCGTCGACGGCACATGCTTGCTGGCCGTTCCACTTTTACTAGCCGCTGCCCGCTGACTAATCATGGACTCAAACTTCTTTAAATTCTCCTGACGGTGTTTATCGATTAGAGCAGAATCTGTCTGCGAGATCAATTTGCCTGTATTGGCGGTAGGGTTGGTGTTGGTGTTGCTTACACTGACTCGGTGCGATGTGTTCGAGGGCACAAAAATACGTTTCGTCGATTCATTACCACTGTACCGTAAACTCTCTCTAACACTCGGTTGGGGTGGTGTCGGCGGCAACTCTTTATTAGCCACAATCTTTTTTTGTTTTATGATGTCACGCATTGCCATTGTTTCGCTATTTTTGGTGTCGGAAGATGTGCGTGTAATTTTGGTTTTATATGGCGCTGTAACGCCTTTGGAGTATGCACCAACAGAGCTGCGTGCGCCGGTGCCACGTTGGAAGTCGGTAATGGAGTCACTTGAGTTTTCTAGGTCAGAGGGCGGCGGAAGGTAGCTGAAGCCGGTGCCTGACGCCATTTCACTGTTGCCAGGTTGTAGTAAATTCTCTGTTTCGCCATAACGTTTACTTTGCTTCTTTCGATCCATTTTCAATTCTTCGATACTTGGTTGTCGTATATGCTCCATTTTTTTAAAACTTTCTTCCATTTCGAAGATGTGCTTCTCAATCGAACCCAATGCAAACGACACATTCACATCATCTTCGACAGTGAGCACCAAGGTGGGTTCCTTGCTTAGCTTCGATGTTGGGGTTACGGCTGCTGATACCGACGTATACGGTGCTATAGAGGAAGCTGCATTTCGTGTAGTGGTTATCTTATTACGCAAGCGCACAACATCTTCATCTATAATAATATCAGTATCTCTTGGTAAAGTCATACGATTGGAACGTGCTATGATTTCTGTATTGCCAGTGCTAGTTTTGGTGGTCATTGTTGTGTCTTCCATGGAACGTGCAGTGTTCGAGCCTTGTGCTGAATAAGTGTCGTCCACAACACCGACACTAGCCGCTGTCTGCTCTCCGTCAATTTTGCCAGCAGCTTCATCACTATGGTCATCGATGTCTAAATCGACTTTTGTAATGATCGGCGGTGTGGGTGCCATACCTTTACGATGCGTTGGCAGGCGGAAGCTTTTTCGTGTACTATCACTACGATTTAAATCGGGGGTATCCATTTCTTGCATTACCCAATGCTCAGCAATTAAGCGAAACAGTTACTCTTGAGGTGTCGTTGCAACTATGTTTGGGTAACACACTAGCGCATATGTATATTGCGTAACTTGTATGCACGCAAAACGAGTTGCAGGAACTGTATTTTCGTTTTCTAATTGCAATCTAAAACAACCTGTATGGTACATATACAAAAAAAATATATAAAAACTAAACAAATTGACATAGTGAAGGCTGGTGCGCCACAGAAACTGCTGCAGAAAATTTCTAAAGAGCACCAGACGTAGCAATCGATGTTAAAATTGCTCAAGTTTCGCTATTGCAAAATTATATTAGGGACAGGTATAACCTTAAACCCTTAAAACCCCTTAATTACATAAGTTTCTAAAATTATATGGAATATACTTTCGAGTTTGAGGCAATCCACCTGATATTACATCTCATTTGTTAACAGCTTTAGAACTTAAACAGCTAATTACAAGATGATCCTTCCCGAACTTATTGTCACTTAAATCCGCAAACGAGATTTTTTATATGAGGTGAGGGTTCAGATTAAAACAGATGCAGATAAATAAATATAGTTAACACTTGTTTTCTTGTTCAAATAAATATTTCTAACTACATTGCATTATCACACAAAGGATCCAAAATATTTTTATATTAAAGAAAAATTTATTTACTAGTGGCGTTTTCTTTTCTGCAAAAAATGTTGCCGTTTCATACTGTTGTGTGAAGTTGGCAATAGGAAAGTAACACTTTTCCGTAGAAAATAATAAATTTTTAAGAGAGACATGAAGGATGATAATGTGGGCTCTGTTTAGCAGTCCACTTTCGTATAGAAATTTTCATGCCTCTTAAGAAAAACTTTAGCAAATTTGAGTAATTCGAGAATTGAAATAACAACGCATTATTAATTACTTTGGGCCAAACAAGAGTGTTTTTTGATAAATTCAAATTCATAAAGTTCAAGTCCGTATATTAAGCAATCAAATTCATGATTTATATATTTAATTTTATCGAAATAAATTTGTTTTGCATTTGCGTATATAACTTTTTCATTAATTTTACAGCTTGAGTGCAAATTTGTTGCACAATTTTCCAAAATTAAATCTTCGTTTTCCAGCCAAATGTAAACATAGTATTATGTATTTAAAAAAATATAGTTATCCGGAACTGCTAAATGTATTTATTAATAGATCAATGCAAAAGTGCAAAAGTGCAAATTAAACAACGTCAAAGGAAATGTTTTACGTATTACATTAAAAATTGATTGAAAAATATTTGATTTAGAATTAGAGTGAATCTATATTTTCATGTAACGCATCATTGCAATAGTGATTGTCATGATACATACTTATGTATGTATATAAAGCGCGTGTGTAAAAATAAAACGGTATGGACTATCGATAGATGATAATGTGCTAATAATTAATATGCCCGTACTAAACGATTGATGTGACAAATGAGTTCGGGAACGTCTGCTTGTCTACCTGCGTACATTTAAGTGCTAATTTCTTTAATTTTACAAATCCAACAATTTACTTTTATAATTTTACAATCTTATACGACAATATACATACATACATATAGTGTCGGACAAAAGTATTGGCACAGCGAGTTTTTCGCAATGTGTGCAACGTTATTCTAGATTCCTTTCGCAAATTTTTGTTCTAAAATTTTAGTTCATACTACAACAAAAAACGTAAAAATGAAATCTCTGCACTTTGTGCAAAACTCAGGAAAATTCGATAAATTTGGATATTTATTTGTAACTTTCCAATCAGATTCTTTATAAAAAATTTTAGAAAAAAGTTGCTAGAAAATCACGTTATTAATTAATTTCTTCTATAAGAAAACTGGCAATTTGTTATACTAAAAAAAATTGAATTGGCTATAAAACTGCATGCCCTGAAGAAATACGCAAATTAGTATGCAAATTTATTGAATTTTCCTGAGTTTTGCACAAGGTTTAGATTTTTTTTATTTTTTTTTGGTGTATTATGAACTATATTTTTATACAAAATTATCAAAAAGAAATTATAATTAAAACCTTTGCAGAAATTGCGAAAAATTCTCTGTGCCAATACTTTTGTTCGTCACTGTATGTATGTATATGAGTACTACACAATGGTATTTATACAATTATGTATGTACGTACATAAACTTACAATGTATTAAACTTAAACTAACTCGATTTTGTGTAATTTAAAGTGCAGGTCTTAAGTATTGAGCATAATTTTGTATGTATGAATACAAGTTGATTTACATACATACTTTTTAAATTTAATTTAAGCTATGGAGATAGGTACCAGTCAATTATTCACCACACATTTATACTTAATTACAAATAAGTGGTCATGATTAAATTTCCTGTATTAAGATATCACTATCTTAACTTACAAATGTAAGTTAAGGAAATTTTTGATTTGTCGATTTTGCGAGCAAAAAAAAAACAACAAATAGCTGTGAAAATTTTCCCGACTATAATGGAAGAGAAAAAATGCGACATAGACCGCAATTATTAAAATTTTAGGGTAAAAGGTTTGGCTATTGAAATCACGAAAATTTACCAGTGCATAGCTGATATTTTGCTCAATGCATCTCTTTGACGGCTGACGATTTTTTATGAAAACTGCGAACGCTGAAAAGTTGACTAAATCTTTGCGCATATACAATGATGAAAAAAATAAAGGAGAAAACAAACGTTGAGAAGTTTTGGATATTTTCCTTTTGCTTATTTTATTTAATTTTTTTTTATAAAAGCGCACTGTAGCACACTTTCGCTACAATTATAACGAGTAGTCTCTTCTTATTATCTACGTTCTTTGACATGGCCATGGAAAAAGAAAATAAACCTTCTTCCATGTAAACAAATTTCGCTAACACTTTGTATGGAGAAAAATGCGTAGAACCGTCGGCAAAAAAAAATATTAAAAATCCAATCTTTACCCACTTCAAATTTGCACACTAATAATAATAACAGATTGGCGCTTACACATGCATATGTTTGTGTTTGGCCGTACTTCTCCTACGATTTGTGGCGTGCGCCTTGATATTGTCACACAAAGGGGAGGGACCTACAGTTTTACGCCGACTCCGAACGGCGATCGTATTTTTATGAGAAGCTGTTTTTCATGGCAGAAATACACTCGAGAGTTAGCCATTGCCTGCCGAGCGGCGGCTGCTGTTAACCACTACGCCATAGCGGCCGCCCATTACACATTATTATACTAAAATTGAATGGGCCATAAAATATTTAAAGTTTTGAGGAAACTTTGTTGAACTTTCCTTAATTTTTGAATAAAATTTGAAACTTAGATTTATATAGTTTTTTATAGCATGAAACATATTTTTGTAAAAAATAACAAAAAAAATTTAGCTTGTTGGCAACAAATTGGCGACTCACCGGTTTATTACCGTGGTGACAAATCGGTAACATCATTTCTTTCATGTCAATTTCGGAGTAGATAAGTTATCGAAAATTCCAAACTTTATCCCAAAGTTTAAAGTTTAATTTACACCAAAGACAGGATTGAAAAAAATAGGAAGCCCCATAGCGAAAGAAAGAATTAATTCCGTTTCTAGGTTACAATTTTGTATACAAAAAATAAATGAAGTATTAAAAATAATCAAATTATTCGAAATATCGCCTGAAGAGATAAGAAAACGACTCATTCAGGTGAGTTGCCTTCGGCGGACGTTTTAGAGCGACTGGTGAAAAGAAATCCATACGATGGCGATATTACCGTCAATAAATTTGTTTCGGCGGGCGACACGTTTTCTTATTTCCGGCAACAAAAATTGTTGGGGGGGTTAATATTTAAATATGAATAGGTGCACGCAGATACATATGTATGTACTTATATGTATGCAGGCAAGTGTATGTTTATAACTCACACGAGTTGTATGTATATATTTCGGCCAACGATTTTACTCTGACACTACAGAAAACCCAAAAACACTCCACTTTTTGGCTCATTTCACTCCGCTCGAAAATTATAAAATGGCAACGCTGTCGAACAATCGAGTCTAAACCAAATTAGTATGGGACCACCATTGAGGTACCACCTTTTGCGATAAAAAAAGAAAGAATTATCGAAAGTTATGCGGCAACATACATAAAAAAAAGCATTCCGATGAATTGATAACTTCCTTCTTTTTCTGAAGTCGGTCAAAAATAGAGAACAGCAATATTACAGTATCAAACACTAGTACTCGCTGCAGCTGTGGACAACGAACTCGTCAAAGCCTACATGAAAGAGAAAAGACAATATAATGAGGGCTGAAGCTATTATAAACACAATACAAATTATAAAAAAGAGCAAGACGATGCAAGATATATGTAGAAAAATTTATTTGCACGGCAGTCAACCTAAATCAAACAATCGGACTGTTGTGGTGAAAATATCGAGAAAATCATGTCATTCCTCACAGATGAGCTTCTGTTGTACAGTTACTAAGTTCGAAGATTCAGCCCTGCAAAACATCAATGAAGTGGATCCAAAACTTTTTCCCGCACGCAGACATTTTTAATTATCACCAATTTCCCATAGAATGTTGTGTTTTAAAAGTATGCACATTAGGGCGGTGCAAAAATGCATAACGAGAATTTCAAGAAAACGTAATTATTTTGTTAACTATCTTTTTTTACACCATTTTTCCCTTTTCAGATTGCGTTCTATTATTGGAAGCAACTCAAACCTCTGCATCTTTACAGCTCTACAAGATCCCAGAGTCTTTTCGTGTTAGCGAAAAAAACTTTTAAATTGGCTGGTTGGGGCGCCTTCCAGGGTCTAAACAATACCGGATCGCAAAATGCTCAACTAGCTTGGGCCACTACATCGGCCTCGCCATCCGAAGAGGAAAATTTATTATATACATAAGGAGGGCTTATATTCAATACCCTCTATCTGCACTTTTCACATAAATGAGATTCTGTATAAAAATTCACCTAAGACTTAACAGTGATCGGTGATATTAATGCTGACCTTGTATAACGCTTGACAGAAAATTTTACTATTAAATTGCGAAATCAGAATTAACATCAGTGTTGACAGGTAAGTCCCAGATGACTGTGTTCTAACAACACAAAGTAGTTTTTTGTGAAAATTGCAGATAGAGGGTATTGAATATTAGCCTCGATTAGTACAACGACCTAAACGACGGAGAAATAGCACATCAGCGCACAAAATATCGTTCCCGCGACGTTCGGGTCTACGTAACCGGAACGACCCAGACTTATATCTGGCCAATGACTGTCACTTCAGCAACATTCCCCAAAAACGCTTGTACTTGAACTTGTATTGTTACAAAAAGGAAAAAATAAATGAAGTCAAAGGACAGCACTTTCAGCAAAAACTCTCTGTTCTTTGAAATAAAGAATGGAATGGTCACCGTCACAGCTATAAGGGAACTAAAAGTCCAAGAATTAGAGCAGCACAGTTCATTTATTTATGTGGGACGTATTTAGCACACATGCTTGATTCTACATAAATATGTATACACCGAAATATATTCCAATGCTGCTTCAATTTTTGTGCACACGTGAATTATTTAGCAAGAAAAATAAACTTGCTGGTTGCTGACATTTTGAAACCTCTTGCTGCCTGGCAACACTAAATTTGTGATATAAACAAACATCAGATGTTTATTTCACACTATGATCACTTAAACTACTCTCCGCTGTCAATGGCAAAATATGCGTGAGTGCTGATATAAATATAAAAAAAAATATATATATATAAATACATGACGCAAAATAAATGTGTGGATGTGGTTTGGTTTGACAAAAAAAAAAACTTCCAATGGCACGCGTATGCAAATAAATGTGTTAAATACTATGTTTGGCAAGCAATACTAAAGTTTCGGATATTAATAAAAATAAAAAAACAATGAAAAATGTCTACATGTTAAAAAAACACAAGATATCAATATTTGGCATTCACGGTGGTGCTATATGAACCATTTTGAAGAGTGGTCATTTTATAATATGCAATTGCTTTAAAGACAATAGAAATTAATTTTTTTCTGTAGTATTTAATCATAAATCTTATATTTTACTTTGATATTTTTTCAACTGCAGTGAGAAAGGAGTTTAATTACGCCAACCAAATATATTTCTCACAACACAAGATTTGCTAACATTTTCAGATTAAAATAATTTATTTAAAATTTTAACACTTTTAGGACCTGCACTTTGAAGTACCACATTAAAAATAAACGTAGTGTCGCGTTCAGTTCAACTTACCATTTACTTAAAAGCTACCTTACTACCTTACCTTAAGGGATATACATAACACGTACATACAAACATACATAAGCACAACATATGGAAGTATCTGTGAGCGTTTGAAAAATAAATAAAAAGAAAAATAGCAAAAGCAAAAAAATTAAAAATAAACCCTAAATATAAAGAGGAAACCAAAAAAAAAATATAAATAAAAAATAATAATACAAAAGTATAAAAATACAACATAAACTAAATAAGTGAAAGCAAAACTGGCAATTGACAAGTACATACTACTTTAAGCAGTCGCTACAAATTTGTACATAACTCAGTGGTTAGCGTTGCTGGCTTTGAACATTGATGATGCGGGTTCGATTCCTGCTGAAGTCTATGTAGAAAAAGAAGCCTGATGAGGAGATGTGGTGATCTCCGAAATAGCAGTTATAACTTCTACCGCTTCGACTTTGCTGTTTTTTCCATTTTTCCAAACAACCAAATCGTGGTACGAAGCTCAAAAAACATTGTTAAAGCGGTCCAAACCGCAGTTCAGATATATGTACTCGCGAAAAGCTTCTTGCACCGGCACAAGTTCGATTTTTAGAACGGTTTGAAAAGCTTTTGCAGTCAGCTTTTAATAATTTACCTAAATGCTTTTATACAAATAATTTTAAGATAATTTTAAGAACGAATCTTCGTCTAATCTTTTTACACAATAACTACAGATACACATATGTACATATGTAGGTATGTATGCACGTAAGTATGTATTGTAAATGCGCCAACACAATGGATATAAAAAGTAAACGGCTGGACCATTTCAACGATAAGCTTTACTATGAGGGTCCCAAAATAAGTAGTAGAACGGTCAAAAAGGCTCGCAAAAATTTTGTCGCGAACTTCTTATTCTGCAGGCAGTCCGCACTTTTGGCGAAAAAATTGTGAGTGATGAATTATGTAATAAAAAAACTAAGATTTAGCAACGCTTGAAAAGAAGACGTAACACTTAAGCCACTCTTAGTTTTCCATTTTTACTATGTATTTCGGAACGAATTTCCGTCACTCTGCCTCAAATTTGGTCTGAAGTAAAACCGCTTTGGAAGTTGTGCCATTTCCAGTGTAATTTTTTATTTTCACTTTTGGCCTGACCTTATTTCTTGATACTAAAGTGATTTTTTTTTTGCCGAACCTAGAGGTCACGCCCTTTTACATTTTTCGGTGATACCTACATTCAACAGTAAATCATTTTTTTAAATACATTGTGCTGCTGAAATAATCAAAAACGTGCTTTAGAAAAAGTTTAATGATTTTGGTGAGCTTTAATTTACTTACATTAGGGTGGTAATTCAATTAAATGAGCATTGGAACAAAAAAGTTTCTGCTCGAGACAAAAACAAAAAAAAAAAATCTAAATTGCATTGCAAAAATACTTCAGATTCGAAGGTTTACCGCGAGTTTTTTTCTGGTACGAACTTATATATGTATGTACATACATACATATACATACATATTCTGTATAAAAAAGCACGTTCGAATTTTTTTAAGACAATTTTTTCAATTACAATTTAACTTTTTTTTAGTTACCCTCTTTGTTTTTATTTCCGAGCCGTTTCTTCGCTTAATTTGACAAAAAAGCCTTGAATGCAAATTTCATGGAATTATTTGGTCTTGACGCTTGAAGTGTTTTAGATCCATTGTGTTGTTCAAATTAAATTAAATATTGATAAAACATTCGGTGCAATTTGTATTTGGTATTTGCATTTTTTTTTTGCAGAGCTAAGCGTTTTTTAAGTGATTAGTTGCACAAAACCAAAACTGATAGCACTATCATACATGCGAAATTATACAGTAATTTTGTTTTCTTCATTTAGGAAAAACATATGCACGTAGTAAATAACAAATAATTTTTTTTTGCATTCGCTTAAAGTAGTTTAGGAATTAGGGTGGGTGGCTGAAATATCTGAAATTAAATACAACAAAAAATTAGCTTTCAATTTACGATTCACTTGTTAAATTACTACTAGAAACAAAACAAAGGAAATTGATTATTATGAGAACATAAGATATATGCTTCAACAGCTAAAACATATACATTTTTACAGACAATAGGAAAAAAACACACAACAAGGTGATGTACACAAATAGTATATTAAATAACTTATTTTACCAGCATTATTATTAGAAATGCAAATGTGCATAAAATCTGCGGTTATAAATACATATGTGCTGTGACTGATAAAATTTAAATTTATTAATATATACATACATATAAATTTATGCAATAAGACAACACATGTGCTTAAGCATGTATATAAGACAGAAAACTAATTAATTATTGATTACAAAATGTAGTTATATAAAACATAAATAAGCTTCATCTAATCACCAAAGACACATATGAACAGAAAAAATAAATAAATAAGCGTTTACAGTGATTGCCTATGGCTCATGTAATAACCCTGCAAACCAAAGTTCTCGATATCTTAACGAAATCTTTAGGAGTATCTAATATGAAGTACACGAACTCGTAAAGAAATTTATGTACGAAAAATAAAGAAAGTTCCGAAAAACTTCTGCAAGAAATTCTTCACATAACAGCATTATTTTCATTTGTTTACCGATTTTCTTCCGAAATTTCGTAAAAACGTATGTACATACTACATATGTATGTACAATATAATAATCTGGTACTGATGAGTCACGTTTTGTAGTTGGAGCATACAAGGCAGATATAATAGACTAGTGAACCCGCATGGCGTTAAGACGCCAAAATTGAGTTCAGTATTTTAAACAGATGGCGACACAATTCACAAACCTTAATAAATATTGAAAATGTTTCAAGTAAATTCGTCCATCCCTTTCTGAACGAAGAGAGGTATCAAATCATTTCCTCAAAATTCAAACCACCGTGCGTGCATCGCTAAACAAGGTCGTAACTTCAAAAAATAAAACCTTAATGCACATTTAGAATGACGGTGCTGATCTGATGACCTTCATATTAAAGATCTGCTGACCATGACAAAAAAGTTATGTATTTATAAAAATTAACTCAAACTAATTTTTTCGGTATATTATGGGTTTATTCGTAAGAACATATATTCCCATTAGTTATGGAACCCGACTTCATCATGTGCCTGTCTTCGCAGTAGCGCATCCTGTTAACCCAGTTCTCCAAGACCTTGTTGATGGTCTCTGGTTCTATCGTAAGAAATGCCTGACATATGCCTTAAAGGCCTGAATCGTTAATAGATTGTTCGCATTATATCGGTCCTACACGGCATGGCACAAAAAAGTCTAAGGGCGGGAAATCGCGGCTCCCAGGGAGCCAATTGACTTCATCGAGACAGCTGATAGCACACAATTACCGAACTTTACAGATCTTTTAAGCTGCACAAAAATTATTATATATATATATAGATATCTATTCGAGCAAAGTTCAAAATTACAGGCATACATATCTACATATCGTTACCTTAATTCACAAAGGCCCTAACCAAATTTTTTTTTTTTTACAGGATAAGCAAAGAATATTAAGGGTATTCATCAAACCTTATAAATCGTATAAACTTATAATTGTGTAAACTTTATAAATTAACTGTCAAAATTTTTATGGAAACTCGTTTACACATTTCTGATAAATGTCTCCAGTGATTTCACTGAATAACCTTGATGAACTGAAGCCAAGGCAAGAATTGGGATCAGCATAAAACAACGATATGATCCTGATATAGATCTGTTTCAATTTATCATCCGTTCCGTTTGTTTTGTTTTACTGATAATTTGGCCGCACAGTTTGGGAGCACTGACAAATGAATTCATACACAAACAGACATGCTGTCCTTGTTTCTTTTAACTTGTGTCAAATAAATCGCCTTTATCTATCTATCCATATTCTATTCTATACTGTAATAAAACTGTAGATTGTTTGTATGTTTGAACTTACTAATTTCCGGAACTACTGAATGGATTTTCATGAGGCTTTAACTGTTATATAGAGAGTGAGTGAGAGTGCGACGTAACCTAGGGTTTGACCGCGATTTGACGATCGTCAGATTATTCAAGTGCACAATTTTTAGCATATAATTAACCTACCATTCTTTAATCTGACGCGCTCGAGTAAATCCAACTATCAATTTTTTTTACTATTCGGATCAGCTGCCCTATGCGCGCCGCTCTGCACAGCCTATGGCCTAGATTTGGTAGAGGTACTCAACAGACTACAGGATATCCCCCTTTTGTTAATGTGACGCGCTCGAGTAAATCCCCAAATGCCTTGTTGGGCTCTCCTACTATAAAGTATTATTATGATTCGAAACGATCCGTAATTTGTTTTTCCCTTCTGGCAAGACATCTTTACCTCATATCTATCAGTTAATAGCGTATTGTATTCCACCGCTTGTTTGGCCATTGTTTACAACAAAATTTTGGAGTGTGCAATATTTCTTTGTAAAATTTCATCAGTTTCCAATTTTATTCAACAATCACAAACAGACAGAGAGATTTAGAAAATAATATCAGATTGGCACTAACATTAATCCCAACGCATGTAAAACTAGTATCAAAATTTAGAGAAAAAGAAAGTATGTAGATTTAAAATTTTGCAGAACAATCATACAATAACTAACTGAGAAAAGTAAAATACGGCTACAATACATACAAGTCGAGACTGCTTATTTTTGTGTTAAAATTTATAGTTGCATTTTGTGCAGGAAGAGTGAAAAAATCCACTACCTATAGTTAGAGAAGCAAAATTTATAAAAATATATACAGGGGTGGTCACGAATTTGGAATTTTGTAATCTGTAATATTGTTGTTTTCCACACAATTTTTCCATTAAAAAAGGCCTCAAGCTCAATAAAAATTGTTAAGAGTTTTGTAATTTGCACAAAATTTTACTTGCTACATTTCTTTGTAAATTTTTATAAAAATGAATGTAGCTGACTATAAATACACCTTTTTTTTAATTTGTTGAATTTTTGGGAACCCTGCACAAGTCTTAAACCATGCCTTGTATGGTTGATGTTATAGTCAGCTATACTTAAGAACAATTACGAAAAAATATTGTGAATATTGTAAAATATGTATGTAGGTGTGCTAAATTCGTCACCACCACCGTATATATTTTGCCGTTCAGAAACTTAAAGACGTACCAATCGAATAGATGGCACAGAAATCCTAAGTTACCGATAAATATTTACCATTATAATATATGTACACATAACTTTTATCTGAAATCTTCTAAATATGTATATAAATCTGAAAGTTTTGCTACAGATTCTACGGCATGAAAATTTGAATTAAATATGTACATATATATGGTCTTAACTCACCGCGTAAGTACTAAGGTCAATACATTTATAAAACTATCAAAACGGCTGACGACCGATTAACAAATAATTACAAGTAACGATAAATACTTGGAATAACATCCAACCTATATTCAAACTTTTACCAGCATTCCGCTTAATTAGCCAACATTTTAATGACAATGTTGTTTATAAAATTGTTTGCATTAATCATTTATGAAAATATAGTTCATTCTATAATATAAACCATAAAAATCAAAAAATTCAAACAATTTTCATAAAAATTGTGAACTTTTTGTTCAGAATTTCTAGAAAATTTTCGAGTATGCAGTTTTGTAGACCATTCAATTTTAGTCTAATGAAGTGCAAGTTTCAACCGGCAAAAAAATCTAGTTGATTTTTGAGACTGCATACTCGAAAACTTTCTAGCAATTCTGAATAAGAAACGGAAAATTTTGATGAATATTTTTACAATTTTTGTGAATTTTATATAAAAAATGAAACTTTGATTCATATGGTTTATATTATATAATGGACTACATTTTCATAAATAATTAATGCACACAATTTTTCATACAAATAATTGTGAATATTATATTAGAACAAGGTATACATTTTCATTTGTCGCCTAGTGTATATTTTTGAGACTATTGATATGAGCCACAATTTCAAGGCGATTTTACCATTCTAGCTTCGTCTCCCTAACCTTCATAACCTCAATAAGAGAAATGTCAAAACGTTGATTTATCATTTTTCAAATATTTTGAAAGTTTCGTGCTCTTAGTGTAGTAACTAACCATTGGTGATGCCAACTTTTGAGAAAATGTACAACAATTTAGTAAACTTTTTCACCCTAATATATGTAATTTTTAATTTTCACATGGTTAAGAAATTCATATCACCTGAAATGCAAAAAGACGTAACAACATCGTAAATGAGAAAAAGACGTGACTAATATTTTATTTTATTTTTTATAAAATGATGTGGGGAGTTGTAATTCGATGATATCCAACATATAAATCAAACAGTGAATTTAGAATTCTTTATTAGATATGACTTTTTGCATTTCAACGATGATGTTTATTACGCATTTGTGAATTTCATTTCATAAAATTACAATATAGCAGCAAAACCGAAAAACGTTCAGAACAAAAGTAGAGCTCACTCCTGGGCAAGTTCCAAACTTTGTTTAAATAGAAATAATTGAATTAAAAACCTAACTACCATTACGATAAAGGTCTGCACACGCTACTGCAGAATGGAGCACATTTCCCATTTAGATATGAAAACAATTCGAACAAAACGGCGCAGAATTTCGAAAACGTAGAGATCCGAAAAGTCATGAACTGAAGCAAAAAAAACAAAACGTTTGACCAAAGTACGCTGAAAATTGCACTACAATGGGAAATACTCAAATTTAACCAAAAGATATTGTCAGATATACAATATAGTATATAGAAAATACTGTACTACCACCAAAACCCGGCACTGCAACTGCTTTATATTTAAATGGTATTGAAATTTTTGTAAATACAATCGCACTCATGCATACATACACACATTCACATAATATTCGCACTCATATACACATTAGTACGTACCCTTGATCGACCACTGCGCGATCCATCAGCCGCAGAATCTTTATTTCTTGAACGTTCCGCTTTGCTGGTCGCTATTATCGGCAAACCACCACCTTCCATCATTGTAACAACAACTTTATTATTACGACTACCGGCCGCTATGCTACCACTGGGTGTCTTGCCTCCCCCCACCGGCAATGTGGGACAATTTTCTTGTATGGTTGATGGAAAGCGCGCTTTTCGACCGCGATTCGCCTTCAAATCTTTCTCCTTCCCCCGCTCCTTCTCCAATTCCTTCATGGTTGCGGGTGTATGACTTTTGGAACGTTTCAAAAATCTGAGCATATGATTTTTTAGACGTGTTGAACTGCCGCTAGCATCACCGCGCTGATGCAATTTTCCAGCGTTTGAACCGCCACCACCATTTGTGACGCTGCTCGGCGGCTCTAGACGACGAAATGTGCCATCTGCTGTACGTACATAACACCCATCAGTCATCTTATGGTAGGAATCTGACGGCAGTTTATGGAAATTTCCATTGGGACTGCGATAGTAGCAATTATTTGTTTTGTGATATCTATCGCCAATGGTTAAATACTCTGTCGTCGTTGTCGTCTTCTTGGTTGCGGTCGCGGCATCTGTAATATTATCCGCTGATGGAAGGGGTGTAGTAGCTGTTGGTGTGGCTGATGTTGCCGTCGCCGTCGTCAACTTGGACATTTGCAAGTTACTAGTCGTGTTGGACCATGTATCGTCACCATCGTCGGTAACACCGCTAACGCTAATGCCAATGCCAATGCCACAGCCGCCACCAACACTACTCGTATCGTTGTCTTTATTATCGAAAATATCACTGGTATTTAGTTCGATACGCTTGCCGATCTCACTGATCGTGACTGGCCGTCCATTGGCGAGACCTTTAACGCGTGGGTTGTCAACAACACGTAGCAGTGATGACTCCTCCGTGCCGGTGACAGCAGCGGAGAGTGCTGGTGGTTCCAGTGTTGAATGGCTGTTGTTATGCACCTTTGACTTCCGTATGGAGTGGCTGCGATTGCTGAAGTGTGTGGCGGTCGACAAGCGGTTCTCATTGTTCCTTTTGTCGTGATGGCTGGATAATTGGCCCATAACTTGTTTTATATTATATATTACAACTTTAACATATACCTCTCGCCCCAGTTCCACTTTGCACATATTGTTGGCAAAAGTAAGACCTGATTATGCACTTTTTTCTTTATTTTTGTTTAGCAGACAAACATTTATTTTTGAACATTGTGATAAGTTTTTATAACGTATTTCTATATACATATATGGGTATATATTTTTGGTATAAAAATCACTAAGCTGGTCGTCGATGAATTACGAGTACTTTGACTAGTATGAAAATATAGAACCAAAAAGTTGCTTACATATACTGATTGTTAATAAAGTTTTGTTTTAGTAAGTTTTGATGCGAATTAATTGAGCTGTATTTTTATACACTCATACGTCGCGTACGCACAGGCTGTAATTAGTTGTTTTTTTAGAATTGTTACGCTGTACTACATAGCGAATTGATGTTAACTATTGCGAATTGCAATACATATTTGGAAGTTATGCTGAAATTAGTTTGTTCGTTTGTAATTTTACAAAACTCTCAAGCTCACAGGCGGAAAATAATTTTTGCATTAAAGTGTTTCATGCTGAATTACTATGTTTGAATATCCGTATAAGCTATGGAAATTTTTCTGACTTATTTATATTCACACTATAGATGTTGCGTGTTTTATCTTGCGAAACATTTTCAACCTAGCAAGCGCCAATGTAAAATTAAAGATAACTAAAGCTGCCGAAACTCACAACACATCGTTCTCCACTTTACGTACATCCATCTACGCTTGTTTGGTTTCTTTCAATAACCATGTTTCATTTCTTCTTCTCCTCCATTGATTCATTCGCTGTACTTGGAACTCCATCTTTAATGCTGGATTTTTTCGCTCTCTTGACTTACTGCGGTATACCTGTGACATTTTTATTCGTTACATTTTAAAAGGGCCGGCCGATAGGCCACTCTCCCACTGCTGCTGCCCGGTATGTACTGCATACTTCATACGTTTGATTGAGCTCGGCTTTTAGCTAAATCAGCTTAAATCAACTGCGTCGCATGAAATATGTATACACTGCCGAGTGTTTCTTTCATACCAGTGCAAGAAAAAATGTACAAGTGTTTGGGTGGTTTGTTGATCATCGACGTGACTGAGACACCCAAACAACACACATGTTTCATAATTTTGACGTGCATAGGTAAGTATGCATGTGCGCATGTATGTAGGTAAGCAAAAAGCTCGAAAGACTGTAGATTAAAGACAGCAAACCAACAAAATATCGCTAAACAATGACAATATACAGCGGCAAAAGCTTACCCGCTTCTGGCTATAGCAAAAAGCTATCATATTATTTACGTTACGCGATTGACGCTGTGGCTGAACACTAAAGTGAAAAAATAACAATTCTCTGCTTAATTAAAAGCTCAAACGTTATTTTAAAACAAACAAAAAAAATACTTTTCGTATCTGCCATAGTCATTCAATTTCAAATCGAATTGAAGAAGGATAAATTATATAGAAACTAGCTAATAAGCGACTATCGCAATTTTTTGATCTCCGGCTTTAGTTTCGTATTTCAACATTACGTCAGCTGTGCACTACACTATACATATATCTACTTTTATGTGTATGACCGTCTGTATTTACTATGCATTGTATCCATGTACACACGCATGCACGCCACTGTGCTTAGCGACGACCAGCGGTACAAGCGTAGTTTAGTCTAGCCCTCGGCAGCCAGTAAACTGTCTTCTAGTTAAAAAAAAAAGAAAAGAAATACAAAAAAAGACGAGGAGCAACATTATTTGTAGGAGCTTTTTTAACTAGCGACTTTTGCTTTTTTACTGTCTATTTATACCACCGTTTTCACATCGCACTCAACACACTTGTAGATTAGAGCGGATTCTTATGCACCATTTTTCACAACGCGTTTACACTTTTACGCTTTTAATGTAGCCTGCAAATGTATCTTTGTATTGAGCATTAGGCAGGCATTATTTCACTTTCGCAACTAAGCAATGAGTATAGTGAATAGTTTCGAAAAAAAGGAGAATCGCACTTATTCACACTTGATAAATTTTTAATGTACTCGCTTATATGTATGTTATGTACGTAGTGTCTATGTATGTATGTATGTATGTACATATGTACATACTACATGGTATGCATGCTTATATTACGTAAAGTAATTTAATCAAGATTTTTATTAAAACACATTAGACACACTGATTGCACTCAGAAAAAAACCATCATCAAACCCGTAAAAAAATTAAAGAAACTTGAAGTCACTTAGTGTTCACCGAAGCTCTTTTTGTATACCAATTCAACTTATGACTAATGTTATATGCGCGTATAGGTGTAACTTTTATGCACACATTTCTTTCTTTATTCTCCATTCATTCAAATCAATTTAATTTTCACAAAGTTTGCTGCGTTCCATGCTTTGAAGCGTTAAGCGAATTTTATTATAAAATTCTATTAATTTTCAAGTACGGTACAGAGCTTGCAGCAACACTTGTTGATTAAATTTTTTAATATATAATCTATGCTTAGCACAATTACACGTTACATGACCATATACATATGTATAGATTTAATTACACATACATATCTGTAATATAGGCATATATGTACATTAATACATATATACCTGCATAGATATATATTTATTATAAATTGTACGCGCAGCACCAAACCGTCCAACGCTTCAACAACGAAAATTTTATTATAATACGAAGGCTTTAAACGTCGCCATGATACTGAGAGGTCTATTCAATTTAGACTTGTTCTCATACCGCTGCGGCTGTGGCTCTGTAGCTTGGCAGTGGCTCGGACCTGCACGCATACCTATACTTAATCACACACACACACACACACACACACGCCCAGACACACGCATATTTATACAAAGTCACCTATAGTGTCTGTGGTTTAGTCTCATCATCAGAATCGTACAAAGACTCAACGCAACGTTGGATAGAAAATGTTGTTTAATTCTTGACGACCTTTTATTTTGCAATTCTCAAACGTACGAAAGAGAATGTTGAAAAGCTCTCACTTCGATGAGGAACCTAATTTAGATTGAGACAAGTGTAAATATGAGCTACAAGCCGCAAGTCAGAAGTCATCAACAGCCACAGATACCACACCATAACAACAACACTATATACGTTTATACATAACATAATAATAAGCAATTGTGTGCTTCTCTTGTATGCAACAGTGTGTCCCAGTAAGCGTTTATTCCAGCAATCGAAATGAAGAAACAACTTTCGTTCCCACGACAGTCGGGCCTACAGCTTTTCTAATTAACTCAAGTACAAGTCTTTGTGTAACAACTATGTTATGATCAGAAACTGCTAAGCTATTGGGAAATTGGGAAAAGTATTGCGGGCCAGGCAAAAGTTTTCATGCGACTGATTAAAAAGTGTTTAAAATTAAAACTCAGCCTTGCAAAGTGTGGGAGAAGCTCTCACGAGTCAGAAAACACTTCCAAAAGGATTTCCGCCAATCTAGACGGATCTGTAAATGTTCAATGTTGCCTTGAAGCAATGTGAGTAGAGGAGTTGCTTAAAGCCGAACCACTTCCTCACCAACTTAAAGTAATTTCGATTAAGTCACAAAGAGTATCCAGACACCTGCGCTTTCCCAAAAGTGCCACGTGTTAAAACATTAAGTGTGTTTGAACTCCCAAGTAGGGCCTAGGAGGACGTTATGCTTCCAACAAGTGCTAGTTCGGGTACACACTGCGGTACCAACAGTTGTTGTTTTTGCTTGTTGTTGCCAGAGTAACAATAATAAGCGAAACGGTTATTTGTAGCAATAATTTTTCATTGGAACTGCTAACTAACCGGCCAAAGTATCGACATTAGTATGAGTAACTTTTTTGCTTGATGCTCCTCTCCGAATGTAGTCGACATTTATTCCTCACTCGCAGTGGAGTAAAGCGATATGCACTATGATTAGGGAAAGAGGTGAGTTGAGGTGAAAAGGGTAAAAAAAGTTGTGAATGAAATATGAGCAGGAACGAAAGTTAGTTACTCATACGCCATACTATTATCGTACATGGCGTATGAGTAACATTATTTCATATTTATATTTCATACACAAAATCATTGGCATTTTCATTTCAACATTCACAACAAGGGTACTCATATATACGCGCAAGTTTCATATTTGGGCAATTGGGCAACTTTGCGCCATGTGTTTCATGAGGATAATTTTATATTTTATGTAATTTCTGACATTTAATTATTTGAAAAATTCAAACTCAAATTTGAGTAAATATTTAAGTCTTACCGCAGTTATTTCGAAAAAGCGTTGAGCACAAACCAAAATGAAAATAAAAAACAAAATAGCTGATTGAGGGTTGCACAGCACACTGCGCAAAGTTGCGCTACAAAATTGCCGCGCAAAGTTTCCCTTTTTGTGCAAATGGCTTTCCATACAAATCTTGACATTTCATTTGCGAGGGTTTAAAATTGCACAGTTTGCCCAGTGTGCGAGAGTTTTGCGCTGTTAAATGAGTACCCTTAACTTGTTTACAAGCTTTTATTCAACTTTCTCTGTATGTACACTGCCGGAACCAAGTATTGACACAGCAAATTTTTCACAATATATGCAACAATTTTTATTCTAATATTTTTCCGTCAATTTTGTACAAAAATATGGTTCATTCAACAACAAAAATATGTATATAAAAATATAATTCCTAAACTTTCTGCAAAACTCGCGAAAATTCAGCAAATTTTCATCAAAATTTTTAACTTTTTAATCAGATTTTTTTTTGAGTATGCAGTTTTGCAGCCCATTAAAATGCAAGTTCGGAGCTAGTCAAAAATCGCATTGATTTTTGAGATTTTTTTGTTGGAGGTGTTTTGCATTTTTTCCATATAAAGTATTTTCGAAAAAAAAAATTGTATGGAAGACTGTGAAAAAAAAAATTTCCAAAAATCAACATTCAATTCCTAGCTACTTAAAACTTGTACTTAGTTATAATAAATAAGTCTACTAAAAATGTTGTCAATAGATGGCGTACGAGTCGATATATTTGGTAAACCAGTTCATATTTAGAAAGCTTGCTTTAAAAATATTTGTTTTTACTATTAACTTATTTATTTATTAATCGATTCTCTTCGTTAGTGGCTTGATTTTTTGTAAAAGAACATGCCTTCTATCTAAAAAATCGGCATACAGGTATATAACCTAAGACCCAAAATGAAGTCCAAAACTTGAGATTTTCCCTATAGTGTATTCAGCAAATAACAAAATGGCGCGTTTCAGGTAGGACAAAGCAAAAGACCACGACCAAAACTTTACCTTTTGTTGACCATTTTATTTGATAAGGTCACCTTTCTTCAAGAGCAAACAGTAAATAGGAACTATTATTGCAGAAGCATTTGAGGGAGAATTTTTGTCACAAAAATCGAAATTTTTAGAGAAATAATTGATGCTAAAAGCGGCTATTTAGCTATAAAAAAAATTGGTCCTCTGTATACGTCTGTGGATGACCACTTGTAATTTTTTTCTGATTCAAGTCACAAGCGAAATGTATTTTAAAACAATTGAGGAGATAGAGGATTCGCAAATCCAACTGAAGGGCAATTTAAGTTCACACTATGGAAATTGAAGATTAAAATAAGCGCATTCTTTATAAAAAAAAAAAAATTATTATTATTAAAATTGCAAAATGCGGTAGGCTTTTGAGCAACACAAAGACTAACAAAGAAAACAGAATAGCCATTGGAATAGCTTATTGGGTTACCATTCCAGCCAAGCTGAGTATGTCTACCTATTACACACAGCTGGACGGTGCACGAGCAAAGACAAAAACATAAAAAAAATAATGGTTGTGTATGTACTTGTTTCAGCGACTATAGTATACACGTTTGTGCAATCTACTGTCGAAGCTACGCTTTTTTCAAAATCTACTCATTTTTATAATTTCATTTTCAATGCAGTCATGATGATATTTCTAGTTAGTTATACATGCAATGGATGACCATGTGTGTATGTGTGTATATGTGTTATTTAAGCTTTACCGCATAACCAACGTGACGAGCTGTTCTCAATTTGCAAAAAAAAATAAAATTAAAAAAAGTAAAGTGCGCTTAATTTTAGAAACGACTGACCAACTAGTGCATATTGAACATACATATGTAGGTATCTATTTACCATTGTATACATATAGGCATGAAAGTATGCAAGTATATATGTACATATGTACATACTATTGTTCGATCGTGGTTGTGTGGATTTTTCCCACTTAGTATACTTGAAGCGCTCATATGTATTCAACAACAAAAACAATAACATCAACAATAGTGTGAAGAGAGTATCGGTCGAGTCTCTATGTCAACAACTGAACTATCCAGTGATCCTGTAGTGATTCTTTAGCCTCTCTCACTCTTTCAAGTGAGCCCTATTCTTATAGCACTTAGCACTTAAGTTTTCATTATCTTATGCTTTTCTTTTTTATTCTCATTGCTTACGCTAATAAATATCATATACAATGTATGTAGTACATCCAACTGAAAAGCACGAGATATATGTACATACATACATACATACCAAATTATATACATACTATGTACGTACGCTAACGTTTAAAATGCTTATCTTCTGATTTATCTTTCTGTCGTTATCTCTTTTAAAATGACAACAGAAACAAATATACTCGTGGTAAGGAAATATGATAACACCGTGGTGCATAACATAACATTGTAGGTACATACTTAATGCATGTACATAGTGTGTGTGTATAAATATACATATGTACCCTGCAGTAAAATTTAGAAGGAACTGGTTAAGCACTAGTTGCGAAGCAATGCATTGGGCGACAATTGTCACCGCCAATGACATCGCCGGGACAAACTGGACAGTTGAAGGCATTGCTTCTTGGGTATTGAGCTAGAACTAGTACTGTCGTCAACAGGTCTAGTTCTCCGCTAGTTCTGAGCTAGTCAGATTTTCTGCAGGGTAGGTACATCCCTATATATACATACATATTAGGGTGCAGACAGATGCAATTGTATGTAGTGTTTTTGTATAGCCTACAATCCTTCCACAATGTTATTTTTTTCACTAAACTACGTATATGTGNAATAAAATGATATATAAAATATAGGTGTGCTCACAAATTTAAAAATTAAAGATTTTTTTTGAGGTGTACCTATTTTTTAGATTTGCCCATATACGCCAAATTTTTGTCAAATGGTAAACATATCTAGATATGCAAGCGAAAAAAGGGCACGTGTCTTACTTACAAATTTCTAATTTTTTTAACATTAATGAATGTATATACGAACACACAGTGGCGAAAAAATAATTAGGAACGCTACATGTTAACAAGTTTTGTCTATTTTTTCTTTTGTTTCATTTTGTAGGGTTTAAAATACTTGCTTTAAAAATACTTGTTACTGTTTCTGTATTCAATTTATTGCTCATCGTCATTTGTTAAACACTGAGGAGCAAAACTGGTACAGTAAGATATAATGTGAATTTTCTTGCGATATATCCGCAATATACGAAGACCTTTTTGTAATCTAAATTAAGATCTCACATTTCCAATGTTTATTTAATCAGAAGGCCATAAAAACAATAATTGATACAAGCAGATAAAGAAGAAAATTACAAAAAAACTAGATTGTTCCAGATTTGCACTCGATAGCTAATTTTGCTATTGCTTGACTTTTAATAAATTAGCCATAACCAATTTGAATATTTTAGCTTTTATGTTCATCTTGGGACACGCACAGTTTTTAGATGAAATCTGTTGAGATTGCGTACCGATTTTCCTCAACGCCATGCCCAAAGTCTTGCATGCGATTGGGTGAATTTCCGCAATTGACCAGTGGTATTTTCAAAAACTTCCATAAGTTTTCTATTGGACTCAAATCTGGGCATTACGCAGGTCACTCCATGTTTATAA